TTGGCGTACAATACGCTGTGCTAAGACGCAGGGCAACACCTTGTGTTGAGACCCTGAGCAACATCTTAGTGGTCGCTGGCCAATTGGAATGAGAGCTTCATTGGGGTGAGCTTTCTGGGGAGGAAGCCATCAACAGGGGCAAATGTAGATCATTTACACCACGAACAAAAGCCCCAATCAAGGGACTCACTCCCTTCATTCACACAACATCGGCCTGAGATTGTATTAGCTGCGTTGGAACAGAAGAGCACAGGTCAAACCAGGACACAGGACACGATCAAAACCGGCATTGAAACTGGGTCAGGCTGAGAAAGGGTTCAAGCGTAAACAATCACAACACCAATCGTGGGAATAAATATTAAGAATAATAATAAAAATAATAATAATCCTTGCATTGGATGTATCCCCGTCATCAACCATCGTCGAGACGGGTGGGGGGGATTTTCGGCCAGGACACCGCGAGAGAGAAACTCCCTTCTCTTTTCGAAAAGGGTCGCGGGACATTCAATTCCAGATTTTTTTTAGATTTTAAGGGGGAGCGGAAGGTTAGCAAGAAGCGGTTGAGAGACACAGAAAACCTCCGACAGGCTTCAAATAACAATTAGTACTCATTAGTATGTGTTAATTTGGTTAGTGCATGCAGCGATTTAGTACAGAGCAACCTCTGAGCTCTGATATTATTGTGAGTTAATCCATGCAGTTTTTATAACACACTTTTTTAGGGACTGTATTTGGCAAAGTGATTTTAATTGAAAGAGCAGAGAGAGAGAGAGAAAGAGAGAGAGAAAAGCACCACCGATCTCTGCTGGGACGAACATTCGCACCAGCGAATAAGACTATTTACATTCTGCTGATCAGTCTCTTTCTCTCGCTCTCCTCAAGTGGAAAGGATTAATAATAATAATAATAATAATCCTTGCATTTGAAATAGCGCCTTATCACTTTGCTGAGACGTCTCAAAGTGCTTCACAAAATATATTGTGAAGTGGGTTCACTGTGTAATTTGAGGGCGAAACGCGGCAGCCAATTGCACACAGCAGCGTTCCCACAAACCGTCGTGGATCGAGTGGCCACATTTTTTTTGGAGGGATTATTATCCCCAGAAAGCGATCAGCCAAATGACTAACAACTGAATTCCTGTTACTGCTGCGTAAACGGAGGCGCGTGGAGTCAGGAAACTTGTGTAACCTTTCGCCCCGCCCGGGAATTGAACCCACTACGGGACGCGATAAATTAAGGGAATGAAGTGTGTTATAAATCCGTTAGTGAATCAAACGTCATTCACCCCGCTCTCACCCCCGTCCCTCTCTCTCTCTCTCTCTCTGGGTTAAAGACGGCAGCGTTTGCTAGCCTGTTATCTCAACAGGCTGGCAAACTGGCTCAATAGAGCCAGCCTAGACCCTGGGCAGGATATCTCCCCTCGTCACTTGTTCCCCAATAAGAAGCTGCGTAAAACAAACAATTGGTTATTGCAAGTTATTGTAAAATCACATCAGGTTCGGGCCTGGATTGGAACCCAACCTGGTTGAATATGTTGCCATCACACTAACGCGTACATAATGACCACTTGGGGTGAGGTATTGGAGAGCGTTGAGGGTTCTTGCTGATGTCCGTGGAACCATAATCTGAGGGAAGGAAAGATTGGAGGGAAATATTAAGCGATTGAAGAACACACTCTGATCTACGTTACAGCTTCCGCTGTCCATTCCGTGACATCGTTTCCTAGCGGCTTCTTGTTCTTTAATCGGGCTCCAATGAGCCCCTAAGGTCCTGAAATTCCTCGTGCTCCTAGACTCAAGACCCCTCACTCAGTTTTAATTGGGGTTCCAGTTTTCCACAGGGCATTTCCCCCCCCTACCAAGTCTGAGTTTAAAAATCTTCCAAAAATTCAGTGTGGTGCTAAAATTTGGGAGAATGAAACTCCTTGTTTCCAACAGCGCTGCGTTGGGAGATCTTTAACGTCCACCTAAACGGAGCGCAGATGGGGAGTGGTTTAGCGTCTCGTCTGAAGGACGAACACCTCCGGCAATGCTTCGCTCTCTCCTCTCCCCCCCCACTCCCCTCAGCTTGAACCCACAACCTTCTGACTCAAGAGTTGAGAGCGCGACCGACTGGCTGAGAAGCTTATAGACGAACCAGTTAATCTCAGTTAGTAAAGAGTTTACTCAATCAAAATTAGTAAAGGTTAGTGTCTGTTAGTGCTGGTTAGTAGCAATGCATTAGATAGGAACACGTCACATCTGTTTCAGGTCCTCTTTGTCCCCAGGTTTGTCTTAACTGCTCAGATACAAGCGAGACGCAGGTGCTGGTGTTTTGGGTTTGGTATCTGAAACAAACCTTGCTTTTAAACACATCGAGATGTCTCGGGCAGGTTGCCCAGTGACTTACTTTGAAGTGCAGTTACTTTTTCTGTAGGCAAACTTAACAACAATAATAATCCTGGCATTTGACACAGCGCCTTATCACGTCTTCGGGACGCCTCAAAGCGCTTCACAGAATACACTGTAAAGTGAATTGACGGTGTATTTTGTGGGCAAAACGTAGCCAATCGCACGCAGCAGCGTCCTACAAACAGTCGTGGATTGAATAACCAAATGATTCTTTTTTTGGAGGGTTTATTACACCAGGAAGGCAATCCGCCAATCGACTAACAACCAGGTTCCTACCTACTGCTGGGTAAACAGAGGCGTGTGTGTGGAGTAGGGAAACTTGCCTAAGGTTTCGCCTCATTTGGGAATCGAACCCGGGTTCTCTCGGGTGCTAACCACTGCGCTGCAGGATTCCACGTGATGCTGACTCTGGGCTCAGTCTCGCTACCCGACTTTCCTCTCGCCCTCCCCTAACGGTGTGGGTAACACGAAGAGCTCCTGATCAGGAAGGAACGCACGAGCGTTCCACAAACACAATCCGCTGTTATCAAGCCAAGAGGCAAGTCGCAAGGGACAATATAATTAGTAGCAAAGTACAGGGTAATTATAGCAGGGGAAAGAACAGGCCCACGTAACTGCCGATGACTGGCAACGTTTACCAACCAGGCTGGATATTATTCAACTTCAGCTTCTGTTGGCAAAACACCTATTGTTCCTTCATTATTTTTCTCAAACACAGAGAATGCTGCTCCAATGGAATGAGCTCAGGCACTTCCCAAGTACACAATTAATCTCAATCTAAGGAGCTTTCTGTCCACCTCTTCCCACCTCTCTCTCGCCGTCTCTCTCTCTCTCTCTCTCTCCCTCAGAGCTCTGAAGTGGGATTTCCTGTAAAGTAATATGAACGGGAATGTTTGGAATTTCCGCTATTTGGCTGACAACCAGATTCCTACTTACTGCTGGGAAACAGAGGCGTGCGGAGTAAGGAAGCTTGCCCAAGGTTTTGCCCACCTGGGAATCAAAGCCGGGTAGTCTCGCTTGCGAAGTGAGTGAGTGCTCTAACCATTAAACTACAGGACCTCTTAAAATGACACCCGACTGCAAAGTGTTACACTGCACCAAAACTCAGTATTATTAGGCTGTTAATAACTGGAAATGTTAGTATCAGATTCAGCATCACTTAAGAATATGCGAGCAAACATGCATTGGTTGGGTTAGTACAAGAGTAGAATATTCCAAGGCAGTCACTAATAGCAAAGGATTCACTCATATAATAATAATAATAATCGTTGCGTTTGGTACGGCGCCTTATCACGTCGTTGAGACGTCTCAAAGCGCTTCACAGAATATACTGTAAAGTGAATTGACTGTATATTTTGATCCAATTGTGCACAGCAGTGTCCCACAAATAGTCATGGATTGAGTGACCAAATTATTATTAATATTTTGTTTTTTTGATTGTTTTATTACCCCCGGTTAGTGATCCACTAATCGACTAACAACTGAGTTCCTACTATCATTGCTGTGTTGAGATTCTATGAAAGCACATTATGTTCTGTTGCAACTCCAGTCAAGTTGTTCAGCTGTTGCTTTTTCCTTCACATAATTTACCAGTGAATTGGGGCCTTGAGCAATGATCTTCTGAGGTGCGGAATCAGATTAAGGGGATTTGGATTAGAGCTGCTTTGTGTATTTCTAATATTCATTTATGTGAGTAACTAAATGCAGTTTCTGCTTCAGAGTGTATCGTAGTCATACAACGGCAATCTGTCTCCGGGCAGGAGAGGCAGGAGAACTGAGAGGCACAAGATGCTGTGAACTCCCTGACTGTAATAACTGTATTCCTCTTTCTACAATTGCCGCTCTTAGACTGAGTACTGGAAGGAAAATAACATTGGGCACCGCTGATGATAGCACAGCCCAACCTGACTCATCGGCAGGCCTTGGCAGGGCAGACCAGTCACTGGGGGCAGGGAATCCTCCCACCTCAACTCCTGTTAACCCTGCAGCCAAAGCCCTGATGGATAGCAAGGGAATGGGGTTAGAGTAGAGAGCTCCAGTGGGGGAGCGAGCACCAGCACCGACACTAAATGACCTTCTGTGCTGTGAAATTTCGATATTTTATCCACAAGTTGAGAGCGAGAAGATTACTCAGTGACGGTCTCAGTATAATCTAAGAGGGTATAATCTTGATGAGCTCCATCTCATAAAGAAAGAGATAAATTAGTAAAAGATGAATCTGGGTTAGTACAACATTAATCTGTTAGTAAAACCTCTTTGGAGGTTCAGTCAGATCTTGCAGTGTTAATACGTTAATTTCAGGTTATAGAAACAGGTTAGTGAAGTAGTTAGTGTTACCTTTCTCTTAAAAAGCATTGTTCTTTGTCTAACGCACTGGGGAGAGCAATGCAAACAGAATCCATCTGTCCTCACCCATTCCCCGCACACACATGCATCACCCAAAGGCCTCACTGCACCATAGCCAAGCATGTCTCCTTCCTGGCCCAGGGACACTGAAGCCAATCGCTCTGTACTCCCACTTGAGAGCCCTGGAGATCAGCCAACGCAGCAAGTATGGGCCACTGCCCCTCCCCATCCCATTCCTTCCCCCGCCCCACCCCATCTGGGTTGCTCAGTCTCACACTGGTTTGTGCTTTTACCAACTGAGATGAATGCAACTTTGTTGGGAACCATTTCGCTTTGAATCGCTCCGGTTGTGGGGAACATTGCTCAAGTAGTATCTGCTTACAGAATTCCCTGTAACAGAGGAACCCAGACACCAAGAGAAACTCGGATGGGAAATGCATAGACACAAGACACAGGACAGCTTCTGTGAGCTCGTTGGACCAAATGGCCTCTTCTCACTCTGTATCCTCATGTCTTGTCTTGTGCTCCCGAAGGCAGTGATATCCGTTCCGGCTCCGATCGCCAGCAGTGCCTGATGTAACTGCTCCAGACTGTCCCTAACCCACAGCTGTCAATCTGACAACCTCAGCCTCCAAAACTCAGAATGATCTCAGTCTCTGTGGTTGAGACCCTAAATTTAAACCCTTCACCTGATAACAACAATCCTCGGGGAGCTTGCCCTGCCCTGGAGACCCAGATCTTTGCTTGTGTTACCAACCCAGAGGCATCTTAATAACAAGAGATTGCATTAACCATCAACACACAGTCTCACGCACAGCCTCACGGAGCAGGTCAGAGGATGGGAGCCCATCTCACAATTCAGATGATATCTCTCAAAGCCTCCAGGCTTTTTCCACTTGTGGAACTGAGGACATCTGAATGGCTCTCTGCCTTGGACAATCCACCCCACCCCACCAGAGATGCCTTGCTCAGCACATCTGTACACAATGATCTTGTCTCGCCTTAGAAACCACTGCAAACCATGGGCTTGTCAACGCCATCGACTGTGCCTTTCACTCGGGCGCTCTCTCTCTTGGCTCCTGGTCCACATCCTCTCTCTCTCGCCCCCTCTCCCTCTCCTTTGCCTCGCTGCCTCAGGGCGCCAATCGGGGTTCCCACATCCACGTCAAAGGGAATGGTCACTCCAGGACTTGCCAATGCTGGACTGACCTGCAAGATATGGAAGAGATGGTCAGTCATTATCAATGGTGTTCTGGCCTTGGGATTCAGATAACACACGCAGGAATCTCTCTCTCTCTCTCTTTCTCCCAGCAGTTTCAGGGCGTAGTGGCTGAAGGCCCGGCCATCAATGGTGGAGCAGAGGGCACGAGGGACAAGCAGGAGGCCGGAAGCCAGTCGAGCGGAGGCAGCCGGAAGTGGGTTGGGGAGTAAGCAAGTGGGAGAGATAGGTGGGGTGCCAGGGCGTGAAGGGATTTGAAGACAGATTACCTCCTCACCGAGACATCCTCACACTCCCAGTCACCGGGGCGTCCCAGCCGAGCTCCATCACACTCACTGGAAGGAGAAAAATGTGGGAAAAGAAAATAAATTGAACATTCACGCCAGACTTGACAACATTCCTACATCAGCTGGGAGCTCAACTCAGTCAGTCGGTCTTGGCTGATGTTCCAGCACAGTGCTGGGGTGGGTGGGGGCGAACACCGCATTGTCAGAGGTGCCGTCCTTCAGATGGGATGTTAAACTGAGCTCCCGTCTGTGCGCTGTTCAGATGGACAATAAAGATCCCATTGCACTACTCCGAAAGAGAAGAGAGTTTCTCTCTCCCCCTCGGTGTCCCCCTGAGAGAGAGCGAGAGAGAGACAATAATTGGTCAGGCACTGGCTGTTTGTGGACTGCTGCTACGTGCAAATTGGCTGCCGCATTCACCTACAAGATACACCATCACTGTTCACACAATCATGCATACGTGCAGACACAGACCCTGGTGTGTGTGCATGTGTATGTGTATGTGTATGTGTGTGTACGTGTCACTGCTGACCCCATGAGCTAAGCCACATCAATCCCATCAGTTTCAAACAGCCTTGGTTAAAGGTGACACTAAGGTAAGATCCAGCTCCAGCCTCCACTCTGTGGCGTTACAGGCCAGATGGACGCAATAGCTCTTTTTTTTCTCTCTCTCTCTCTCTCTCTCATTTTTTTTGTTACAAACTCCAATCTGGGATTTGCCAGCCAACAAAGAGGTCAGGGCTCTCAGCGAAAGGAAGGGATTTGATGCACTCACAGGACGCAAAGATGAGGGAGTTTGAGTGGAATGTGGTGGGTGGAAAGAGGATTTTTTTTTGGCTGAGATCATCTCTGACGGTTTAATTGCTGTGCGCAATTGGCTGCCGCGTTCGCCCACAAATATACAGTCAATTCACTTTACAGTGTGTTCTGTGAAGCGCTTTGGGACATCCTCCCGACGTGAAAAGCGCTATATCAAATGCAAGGATTATTATTATTATTATTATTATTATTAACCCCTGGAGAGAAACCAAGAGGCCAGAGGGGAGCTGCGAATGATGGTGGCAACTGTCCTCTCCTCACCCCTCCCTTCCCATCGCTTGCTAATCCCCAGTCACTCCGAGTCCCGAATTAAACTGCTAAATTGAAATGACAAGCGAAGAAGAATCTAAGTGCTATTAGGCAGATCTGGGCTGACGTTGCAATTTAATTAGTTTTATATTTGATGTAGCTGTTGCCCTCCCCTCCCCTCTCCCTCTCTCTCTCTCACTTTCCCCTTCTCATCTTTTTTAAAATTGAGATAACGTGTCTAGCTACATAGGAACAGGAAGAGGCCATTCAGCCCCTCGAGTCTGTTCCGCCATTCTATTGGATCACGGCTGATCTGTATCTCAATTCCAATTATTGCGTTACATTTAATCCTAAATCATAAACCCTTGCATTTGATATAGGGCCTCATCACATAGTCGAGACGTCTCAAAGTGCTTCACAGGATATACTGTAACGTGTAGTGACTGTGTATTTTGTGGGACAAACGCGGCAGCCAATTGCGCCCAGCAGTGTCCCCGCAAACAACCATGAAACGAGTGACCAATGTTATCTGGAGGTTGAACCCAGCAATCCAATAATCTACAGGACCCCTATGTTTTATAGGATTTATAGATGAAGGTGAGACCTTGAACTCGGTCCGTTGGGTGACAGGGAGACAGCGGGTCTTGGTGAGGATGGGCGTGATGGGTGTGCGAAGCTGCGGTAGGGAGGAGGGAGGAGAAATAAATGGCAAGAAAAAAAGGCCGCTTTTTCATTAACTGTGATGAACTGTCAGCAGGAAGTGTGGTTACATGGTGTGAATTACAAGTCTATTTGCAGGCCGGCGCTATAACCAGCTGATAGCTTGAAGCAAATGTCAGCAACACGCACTTTTCTCTCTCTCTCTCTCTCCCCCTCTTCGTGGAGTCACGTGCAGAGCACACGGCAGCACACAGCAGTGCGAACACGCAGTGGGGGAGGGACAGATCCACAGATTAACGCCTTCGACCGTTCCCCCCGCCCCTGCTCACACTTCTGTGCACTACTTCTTGACTGCCTGACTACACCACATTCTTAATAATAATAATAATAATAATAATCCTTGCATTTGATACAGCGCCTTATCGCGTCATTGAGACGTCTCAAAGCGCTTTGCAGAATATATATTGTAAAGTGTATTTTGTGGGCAAAACGCGGCAGCCATTTGCGCACAGCAGCGTCCCACAAACAGTCGTGGATTGAGTAACCAAATTTTTTTTGGAGGCATTATTACCCCCCGAAAGCGATCCACCAGTCGTCTAATAACCGGGTTCCTACCTACTGCTCGGTAAACAGAGGGCGTGTGGAGTAAGGAACTTGCTTGAGGTTTCACCTCACCCGGGAATCGAACCCGGGTCCTCTCGCTTGCGAGACGAGCGCTTTAACAACTACACCGCAGGACTCGATTAATGCTACATGACAGGAATGAGTGAGGGGTGGGGAGGGGGGGGGGGGGGGGGGTAAAGGGAAATGTGGGGATGGGGTTAAGACTAGATTCTAAAAATAATCATCCTTGTGTTTGATTCAGTGCCTTATCCTGTTGGGAGGACATCTCAAAGTGTAAAGTGTAGTGACTGTGGGTTTTGCAAGGGAACGCGGCAGCCGATTTAGGCCCAGCGACGTCCCCCACAGACAGCTGTGAAACCCCTTCTGCCATCAGAACGCTCCAATATCCCACAGCCACCAGTCAATTTGAGATGCACAGGGAGGAACTACGAAGGACTTGACATTATCCACTGTAACGCTGGGAGCAAATAAGCAAAATACATTCGAGGAACAGCACCTCATTTATCTGCTCGGGACCTTCCCGCCCTCGGGCCTCAATATTGATTTCAACAATTTCAGACCGTAACATCTCACCTTCCCCCCGTCCCCCACTCTTCCGTGACCATCACCACATCATCCGGGTCCCAGACACACCTTTCCTCTCTCTGGTCGACCTGTTTTGTTGCAATGTTCTCCCCTCTTTTGTTTTGCATCATTAACACCGCTTTAACCCATCATCCCCTGTCCTCTGCCCCATTTTCTCTTCCTTGCCCTGCCTTCCCCCTCTCTCCGTTAACCCTTAAAAGCCTCTCCCTCCTAACATGCCCCAGTTCTGACGAAGGGCCCTGGACCCGAAACACTGACTCACTTTCCTCTCTCCATAGATGCTGCCTCACCCGCTGAGTGTTCCCAGTGACTTCTGTTTTGTAGCAAGTAAGACAACGCTGTTGGAAGATGAGGTGCAAGTGCAATGCTCTGGTGTAATTTATGCACTTCCAACCTGCTTTGCAAAGCTAAGTGTAGTTTACTCCAATCCAACTGTACCGATGGAACCTCTCACCAAGTTCCGCTTGAGCAAACTACACCGAGCTTTGCAAACCACTGTGGTGAGTGAGTGATCGATTTATCAACAACAGCAAACGACAATTACACAGCGCCTTTCATGTCGGGAGGACGTCTACAAAAGCTGGACAATCAAGATTGGGTGGAGGACAGGGGTAGGAGGGTGACCGAAGGCGCGGTCGAAGAGGAGGGTCTTGAGACGGGCTTCGAAGGAGGCGAGGGAGGAGGCGAGGTGGAGGGAAGTGTGGGATGGATGGAGTTCCGTTGGGTGAGGCCAGAGAGGCTGAAGGCCCGACTGAGAATCAAACCCGGGCCCTCTCGTTTGCGAGGTGAGTGCACTCACCACTACACCACACTACAGGCCGCCCCTATCCTGTAATTACATATCATTTCTCACAGTCAACAAATAATTTTCATTCGTCAAGAAACTACAGACGTGTAATTATCACGAGGAACGTCGTGGAATGTCACAAAGGGGTTTCACAGCTGTTTGTGGGGACGTCGCTGTGCCTAAATCGGCTGCCGCGTTCCCTTGCAAAACCCACAGTCACTACACTTTACAGTGAATTGTTTGAAGCACTTTGAGATGTCCTCCCAACAGTATAAGGCACTGAATCAATCACAAGGATGATTGTTATTAGGATCTAGTCTTACCCCCCCACCTCCCCTCACTCACTCCTGTCACGTAGCATTAACCGAGTCCTGCAGTGCAGTTGTTAAAGCGCTCGCCTCGCAAACGAGAGGACCCGGGTTCAATTCCCGTGTGGGGTGAAACCTCAAACAAGTTTCGTTACTCCACACGCCTTCTCTTTACCCAGCAGTAAGTAGGAACCTAGTTGTTAGTCGACTGGTGGATTGCTTTGGGGGGGGGGGGTAATAATATCTCCAAAAAACATTTGGTTACTCAATCCATGACTGTTTGAGGGACGCTCCTGAGTGCCATTAGCTGCTGTGGTTTGCCCACAAAATACGCAGTCAATCCACTTGACAGTGTATCCCGTGAAGTGCTTTGAGACTTTTCAATGACGTGATAAGGCGCTGTATCAGATGCAAAGATATATTGTTAGTGTTATGATTCACTCTCCTCCACTGTCCAAAGTGATCTCCGATGGTTGTAATGAAAAGACAGCGCAATTAATTTTGTCCATTAAGAAATGAGCGTAGACTTTTGCTGTTGATGGCAGTAACGCGATCAATGAATATATTGCTAATAAAACGACAATCACCCAGCTCTGAACTGAACTGTACCCTATGGAGCGCAGAACATCCCTGTTGGCCAGTTTAACACTGGGTTTAAACTGCGCGTGGAATTGTACCGATATATAAAGATCTCCCACTTCTCCCTCCCACCCCATCCAACTACACCCTATACATCAATGGATTATCCAGAGCCACATCTATTGCTAATCTACAATTACATATACATTTCAACATGTCACCTCGCTTTTTTTGGTCAGCCGGGTGTCTGACATGTGCGGAAACCCATCACCACGCTTAAGAATATCCAAACCAAACTGGTAAGATTAAATAATTAATTAATTCGCCTTAGTATGTGCAGCTCCCACCCCCCCACCCGCCCCTCTCTCTCTCTCTCTCTCTCTCTGTCTCTCTCTCTCTCTTTCCATCACCTGCATAATCTCTCGTCAAAGCAAGAATACTTTTGAAACGCTGATCTCAAGTCTCGCGAAAAAAAAACTCCCAAATCTACATTTTCTCTCTTTCTCTCTGGCTGCAACTGAACATTATTACTACGTTACCTAATTCGCTTAGGACTTAGATTTAACACAGATTAAATGTCTAATTTTGGCTAATTTACCGGGGCTGGGTTCAAATAAAACAATCGCTATTTTCATTCCGATCCCAGATACAGAACGAATGATCTGAATGGGGTGAAATGGATAAACCTTATGTATGTGAAAAAAAAATGTTCATTTGTATTAATTGCAGGACATTTAATCCATGCACACTCCCCCCGTCCATTTGGGATCAATTTCATGCAGATTAATTTATGCATGTATGTATTCAATTGCGCTTTTCTTTGAAAAAAATGCCCCCCTCCCCCCATTATCTTTTACCAAACCTGCAATCAACCTTCCTCACACAATCCCCAGAAACTTAATGATATCACCCCTCCACCCCCCCCCCCCACACACACACACAAAACACCTCAATCAAAATGAAATATATACGATCGACGAGTAATTTGTAACCTGGTAATGTTTCGCCCACAAAACACATAGTCAATTCACTTTACAGTATATGCTGTGAAGCGCTTTGAGGCATCTCAAAAACGTGATAAGGCGCTGAATCAAATGCCAGGAAAATTGTTATTACATTAATTTTATACAACCTGACAATTCATGTGGGGAATTTTGGGATTATCTGTAATATTTGCCGAATATTAGAAAGAGCGCACACACACAAATAATAATTCAAATAAGGTTTGCGCCTCTCTCTCTCTCTCTCTCTGCATTGCTGATAGACAGATCCACTTACATAACACTGCACAAGAAGGAAGGGATATGGAACAACCATCAAGGACGGACAGACAGACAGACATCTAGTCAGAATCTCCCTCACAATCTGTGCACAATTTTGCTGCAGGTTAAAATGGCCATATTTAGTATCTCCCAGAGACACACACACACACACACATACACAGCAAAAATCAGTACAGAATCACAGAGGGAGGAAATAAGTATTTTTTACACACGCACATCAAATATACTCCACATCTCCCGGGGATTCAATGACAATCGATTAAAACTTGCAGCGTTTATAACAACCTGTTTTTTTTCAGATGCTTGACGTCGTTCAGAATGGTGTCTTACCTGCTTAAAACCTTTATTTCCCCTTCAGTGAGCCTTTCAGAGGAGATTCCCTGGGAGGGTACGAGAGGAGAGAGAGAGAGAGAGAGAGAGAATAATAAAAATAACAGTCACCTCCTTTGTTGTCCTGTTGTTTCTGCCTGGTTTGCTTTGCAAAGAGATGGATGGCACTTAATGAAATAGCTCATAGCGTGGGGGGGGGTCAGTCAAATGGACACCACGGATCTCAAGTCCGAAGCATTTGCAAAGGAGAAAATAAAATTTGGTGTTGATTCATTTCAGGCTGACGGTAAATAAAAAAATGGAGATATTTTCACGTCCCACTTTTTCTTTCCTCCCTCCCTCCCTTCCTCGATGTGTTAGCCCCCAGCCTGGTCGAACAGCATTTGGGTATGTTGCAGAAGCCGTCAAGATCAAAGCGCTTTGAGACGTCTCGAAGACGCGATAAGGCGCTACATCAAATGCAAGGATTATTCCTATTCTTATTATCACACGCACAAAGGTTACCTGCTCAGACGAAGCCGTGAGGATGGGTGGATGCTTTCATTGTGCCAGGCAGAGACACCTTGCAGCACAACGGCTGAGCAGAAGTGCAGTCCACACTCACTCACGCAGATATCTATTAAAAAGAGAGCGTGGAAACGAAAAGGATCGCACACATCTCTCTGTGCGTCAGGCAGGCGGGGGCACAGGGTGGTTCCTGCAATAGGAGGGAGAGGAGGGGTGGGGGGGGGGGGGAGAGAGAGAGAGAATTCTCTGTAATTAGTGTCACGGTGAATGAGGAGGTCTGGCTGAAAAGCAATGAATAATGAATCCATCTGCACTGCCTTGAATAGGACGGCCAGCTGCTGCCCGCCTTTCCCAACCACTCGCTCCCATTGTCTGTCTGCCTTCTGCTCAGGTCTCTGTGTCACGTACACACCAGCTGTGAGGGGCAAAACAAGGCAACAAGGCTCTCCCCTTTCCAACCCCGGGGCAAGGCGAGGGACCCATTGATCGATCGAATGATATCGGATCCAAGAGTGGAGCCCTGTGGTGCAGTGGTTGGCACACTTGCCTCGCACCTGAGAGGCAAAACCTTACACAAGTTTCCTTACTCCACACTCCTCCAGCAGTAACTAGGAACCCTTGGTTGTTAGTCGATTGGCGGTTCAGTTTCCGGGGGTAATAATCCCGTAAAAGAATAATAATAATCCCCGACTGTTTGTGGGGGCGCTGCTGTACACGATTCGCTGCCATGTTTCGCCCCCAAAATATACAGTCCATTCACTTTACAGTGTATCCTGTGAAGCGCTTTGAGGCGTCTAGAAGACACGCTAAGGCGCTATATCAAACGCAAAGATTATTATTACCCTTTAGATACTTGCTTTTGACACAGCTTGTCAAATGCAAGGACGTCTCAAAGCGTTTCACAGGAAATACTGTAAAGTGCAGTGACTGTGTATCTTGTGGGCGAAACACGACAGTTTGTGCACAGCAGCGTCCCCACAAACAGCCATGGGTTAGGCAACCAATCCTTTTTATTATTTTGGTGGGGTGGGGCAGTTGTTGGCCAGGACACTGAAAGAGAGAGAGAGAGAGAGAGACTCTCTAGCCTTGGCTTATTTCCACCATTTTTTGATGTTGTTTGGAAATTGAAAATGTTGTTTTTGCTTAAAAAAGGACAAAACCGAAACTCCCCCAAGCTTGCTGTTGGAAGAAAGCCTTGCAGGAGGGTTGTCCTTCTGTTTCTGCTCACACTCTTGTTTGTTTGGAGCGAAAAGGTTAGAGTTCTGAATCATCGGGTTCCTCCGACGAGTGAGCAATTGCTCAAACAGAGATAGTGCCGGCTGGCAGTGTGGTGGGAACGCACACTCTATCCACTGTACGTGAGGATCAGGGTCCAAGGCAATAAAACAATAATAATAATAATAATAATAATCCTTGCATTTGATATAGCGCTTTTCACGTCGGGAGGACGTCCCAAAGCGCTTCACAGAATATACTGTAAAGTGAATTGACTGTATATTTGTGGGCGAACGTGGCAGCCAATTGCGCACAGCAATGTCCCACAAACAGTCGTAGATTGACAATGACCAATTTATTATTGTGTTTGGTTTTGGAGGGATTATTATTAGGCTCTGTGTGGAGTAAGGAAACTTGCCTAAGGTTTCGCCCTCTGCCTGGAATTGAGCTCAGGTCTCTCACTTGCAAAGCGAGTGCTCTAACCACTGAGCCACAGGACTCCACGATGGCATCTTCCTCAGGTACTTTGACTTGTGTGATCAGAATAGGCAGACGTCATCATCCACAACAACAACAAATGACATTTACACGGCGCCTGTCACGTCGGGAGGCGCCGGACAGTCAGGGATTTGGACCCGAGCTGGGGGTTGGGATCAGGGGGGGTGGAGGGCGGGGAGGGCGGGGTGGCAGGAGGGTGACCGAAGGCAGAATATGCCGTGAAGCGCTTTGAGACGTCTCGACGACGTGTAAAGGCGCCGTATCAAATGCAAGGATTATTAATATTAATAATAACAATAACGGTCGGTAAAAATCAATGCTCAGATCGGCTTAGAAATGACCTGTTTTCTGTTAACTGTAAAGGCAGCCCGGGGGCCTGACTGGTGAAAGGCTCACCGGGTGCAGTTAATCTTGCCAATTGATCCCTTGGAACCTCTTCCGCACATTAGCTGTTTGACAGAACAATGTACGGTGGTCGCACCTGTCTCAGGTTTGGGCGTTCTCTGTTAATGCCACTCGCTGACCCCACGATGACAAGAGAAAGAGAGGGGGGCCCAGGCAGAGGGGGAAACCTCTAATAGTAATATTATTAGAATAATAATCCTCGCATTTGATACAGCGCCTTATCACATCTTCGAGACGTCTCGAAGCGGGCGATGCGGTAAAGTGAATTCACCGTGTAATTTGTGGGCCAAGAAACGCGGCAGCCAATTGCGCAGAGAGAGAGAGAGAGAGTGAGAGACAGAGAGAGTGAGATGGACAGAGAGTGAGACAGAGGCAAAGGTTGAGAAACGGCGACATGGAGCGAGACAGAGAGAGAGAGAGAGAGAGAGAGAGACAGCGAGAGAGATAAGTGCGTGAGGGAGAGACAGACGAGCGAGCCGCACAGATTGTCAACCACATTTGATTTAACAGGTGCTGCGATCCTCAATGCAAAACACTCTGTTTCCTGTGCAATAGGACCTCTAAGTAGGGGGACAGCTGTTCATGTCAGCTTTCTTCAGTTCAGTTCAGTTTCCTGTCTTCAAACAAAGTGTTTCGCAATTCCGACCAGGAGGTAGAACGGAGCACACCCACACACACGCATACACACACGCACACACACACGCACACACCTGGCCATGATAGGCTGTAACTCGCTGCACATATCTCGCATAATAATAATCCTTACATTTATTTCGCCCACAAAATATACAGTCACTGCACTTTACAGCGTATCCTGTGAAGCGCTTTGAAACGTCTCGAAGACGTGATAAGGCGCTGTGTCAAATGCGAGTCCTATTATTATTATTATTATTATTATTATTATTATTATTATTGATACAGCGCCTTATCGCGTCGTCGAGGCATCTCAATGCTGTATCCAGGATATACTGTAAACTGGAATGACTGTGTAATTCGTGGGCGAAACACCAATTGCAGCCAATTGCACATCAGAGTTGAGCAGAAGTGCGTACTCCTGGCCACGGCTCAAAGAGGAAACTTGGAGTAAACACCAACCCATCTTACAATACAGTTCATTCCCCACACACACACACAGCCCTACACACACAGATATACACACACACACACAGATATACACACACACACACAGCCCTATACACACATACACACACACAGGCTGATAACGAACGAGAAACAAGTCATTTGGAAAGAGAAAGGCAGACAGTGTCCGCACATAGTTTGACAGACACACACACACACACACACACAGAGTGAGACACACACACACAGAGTGAGACACACACACACAGAGTGAGACACACACAACACACACAGAGTGAGACACACAAACACACACACACAGAGTGAGACACACACACACACAGAGTGAGACACACACACACACACACAGAGTGAGATACACACACACACAGTGAGACACACACACACACACAGAGTGAGACACACACAAACATACACAGAGTGAGACACACACACACACACAGAGTGAGACACACACACACACACACAGAGTGAGACACACACAAATACACACACAGAGAGTGAGACACACACACACACACAGAGTGAGACACACACACACACACAGAGTGAGACACACACAAACACACACAGAGTGAGACACACAAACACACACACAGAGTGAGACACACACACACACAGAGTGAGACACACACACAGAGTGAGATACACACACAGTGAGATACACACACGCACAGAGTGAGATACACACACACAGAGTGAGATACACACACACACACAGAGTGAGACACACACACACACACAGAGTGAGACACACACAAATACACACAGAGAGTGAGACACACACACATACACAGAGTGAGACACACACACACACAGAGTGAGACACACACACACACAGAGTGAGACACACACACACACACAGAGTGAGACACACACACACACACACAGAGTGAGACACACACACACACACAGAGTGAGACACACACACACACACAGAGTGAGACACACACACACACACAGAGTGTGTAATGTCCTCTCCCCTGGGTGCCCTGGATGACCTGGGTGCCCTGGGTGCCCTGGGTGTCCTGGCGGTCCGGGGTGCCCTGGGTGCCCTGGGTGCCCTGGGTGTCCTGGCGGTCCGGGGTGCCCTGGGTGCCCTGGGTGCCCTGGGTGTCCTGGCGGTCCGGGGGGCCCTGGGTGCCCTGGGTGCCCTGGGTGTCCTGGCGGTCCGGGGGGCCCTGGGTGCCCTGGGTGCCCTGGATGCCCTGGGTGACCTGGCGGTCCGGGGGGCCCTGGGTGCCCTGGATGCCCTGGGTGTCCTGGTGGTCCGGGGTGCCCTGGGTGCCCTGGGTGCCCTGGGTGTCCTGGGTGCCCTGGGTGCCGTGGGTGCCCTGGGTGTCCTGGGTACCCTGGGTGCCCTGGGTGTCCTGGCGGTCCGGGGTGCCCTGGGTGTCCTTGCGTCCCTCCTGTTTTTGTTGCTCATCAAGTATTTGAAGAGAACGAATTACTGTCTGGAAACCAGACGCCTGGATGGCAAAACTGTGCTCATTACAGGTCAGTACAGGCTGGGCATGGGCAGGGGTGGGCATGGGCTGGGCAGGGGCTGGGCTAGGCATGGGCAGGGGTGGGCATGGGCAGGTCTGGGCATGGGCAGGGGTGGGCATGGGCTGGCAGGGGCTGGGCAGGGGTGGGCAGGGCTGGGCAGTGCAGGGCAGGGCAGGGCAGGGCAGGGGCTGGGCAGGGCAGGGCAGGGCAGGGGCTGGGGCTGGGGCTGGGCAGGGGCTGGGGCAGGGGTGGGCATGGGCTGGCAGGGGCTGGGGCAGGGGTGGGCATGGGCTGGGCAAGGCAGGGCAGGGCAGGGCAGGGGCTGGCAGGGCAGGGCAGGGCAGGGCAGGGCAGGGGCTGGGCAGGGCAGGGCAGGGCTGTGCAGGGCAGGGGCTGGGCAGGGCAGGGGCTGGGCAGGGCAGGGCTGGGCAGGGCAGGGGCTGGCAGGCAGGGCAGGGCAGGGCAGGGCTGGGCAGGGCAGGCAGGCAGGGCAGGGCAGGGCTGGGCAGGGCAGGGCAGGGCAGGGCAGGGGCTGGGCAGGGCAAGGCAGGGCAGGGCAGGGCAGGGGCTGGGCAGGGCAGGGGCTGGGCAGGGGCTGGGCAGGGCAGGGCAGGGCAGGGCAGGGGCTGAAGGTTCCTCTGGGTTTGCGGCCGATAATTCCAGACTCAATGAGAATAAACCCTCAAGAAAAACAAACAACAATAACTTGGGTCACTTGAACTCGTGGCTGTTCGCGGGGACGTCGCTGAGCGCAATTGGCTGCCGAGGTTTCGCCCGCAAAGTGCAAGCATATCCCGTGAAGCGCTTTGAGGCGTCTCGAAGACGCGATGAAAGCTCTGTATCAAATGCAAGGATTGTTGTTGTTGTTGTTGTTATCAGTCATAATCCTTGCATTTGACATTGCGCCTTATCGCCGGGTCAAGACGTCTCGAAGCGCTTCGCGCGCTACACCGTCGCGTGTAGTGACTGCGCACTTTGTGGGTGAAACGCGGCAGCTAATTTTCGCACAGCGACGTCCCCGCAAACAGCCGCGGGTTGAAGTGACCGACTTATTATTATTGATATTATTACTATTATTAGTACTATTTATTTCGAATATTTTTTGAGACTTCTCGAACATCAACATCAAGTGCAGAGATTATTATTATTTTTTATTATTATTTATTGTTATTATTATTTATTATTATTTATTATTCATTATTGTTATTATTTGTTATTCATTGTGTATTATTATTTACTGTTATTATTTATTATTATTATTTATTGCTATTATTTATTATTATTATTATTTATTGTTATTATTTATTATTATTATTTATTGTTATTTATTGTTATTATTTATTATTATTATTTATTGTTATTTATTGTCATTATTTATTATTATTTATTATTATTGTTATTTATTGTTATTTATTGTTATTTATTGTTATTATTTATTATTACTATTATTATTATTTATTATTCATCATTAACTGAGAGCGTTGCTGTCGCAGGAGGGAACTCTGGGATCGGGAAGGAGACGGCAGTCCACCTGGCCCGGCGAGGAGCGAGGGTCATCATCGCGTGCCGGGACCCCGTCCGGGCAGAAGCCGCGGTCACGGACATCCGCCGGCGCAGCCTCAGCCTGGCCGTCCACCACCGGCAGCTGGACCTGGCCAGCCTGGCCTCCGTCAGGCACTTCTGCCGGTGTTTCCTGGAGGCGGAGAAGCGCCTGGACGTCTTGATCAACAATGCAGGTGCGGTCGGTCGGTCGGTCGGTCAGGGCCTGGCGTGCGGCTCAGTGCTCCGTAAGGCGTAGCGACTGTGTATTTTGTTGGCGAAACGCGGCGGACAGTTGTGGACCGAGTGACCCAATTCGGGATGTCTTGGGAGGCGAATCGACTGCGTGTTTTGTCCCCCTGCTTCGTGCCCGGAGTCGAACCCAGGTCCTGGCGAGGCAAGTTCGCTAACTGCTCCGCTCCAGGGCTCCACGTGTAACTTGTCGCTGTTGTTGTTTTTTCCCGCAGGAACGCCGGGCAGATTGGGCTGGACCTCTGACGGCTTCCAGATCTGCTTCGGAACCAACCACCTGGGCCCCTTCCTCCTCACCAACCTCCTGCTGGACCGGCTGAGGGAATCGGCGCCCAGCCGAGTAGTGACCGTGAGCTCCGACACCTACACCTTCGCCAAGCTGGACTTCTCCCGTCTGAACGCCGAGGGCAACCGGTTCGCCAACTACAGCCGGAGCAAACTGGCCAACATCCTCTTCACCAGAGAGCTGGCACGGCGACTGGAGGGAACCGGGGTCACAGCTCACTCCTTGCACCCAGGTAATCCTCGGCCAAGAACCACAGCCCCGCCACCCGTGTCAGGCGGAGCTGGTGACTGATGGGCTTTCTTGTTATGGCTTGGACCCCCCCGTCAGGTTAGTGCGTTGCCCTGAGTTCCCTTCTCAAGACCCTCTTCTGCGACTTTAAACCTCACTCCCCATCGGGTGGACCTTAAAGATCCCACAGCGCTATTGGAAAAGAGACAGTAGTTTCTCTCTCTCTCTCTCTCTCTCCTCCCTCCCTCTCTCTCTCTCTCTCTCTATCCTGGTGATCCCAAAGATAATCTCAGTTGCCCACTTCATGGCTGTTTGTGGGATATTTTGTCCCAGTGAAGCCCTTTGAGATGTTCTGGCGTGACAGGCACTGTTATCAAACCAAGCACTGTTGTCAATTAATGTTGTTCGGGTCGTGTTGTGGTTTATTCCCAGGTTACATCTTCACCAACTGGGCCTCTCACTACTCCCTGGGGGTCCGCTTGGTCTGCTACCTATTCATGTCCCTGTTTTTCATCTCGAGTGAGCTAGGGTCACAGACCACCATCCACTGCGCCACATCCGACCAGGTCCTCGCACACAACGGTGGATATTTCTCCAACTGCCAACCGGCCAAACTCTCAGCCCAAGCCCTGGACGAGGGGGCAGCCAAAAAGCTATGGGACACCAGCGAACAACTGGTGGGGTTAAGCCACTGAGAGAGACAGAGACAGAGAGAGAGAGGGAGAGATGCTTTTGACCCATCTTGGCTGTCACCAATGGAGCCACAGAACTTCTGAACGTAAGAATTTTTTGCCAGGTGAAAGAAGACCAAGTTCATCCAGTTCACCTTCCACCATCTTGCCGGGCGCTTGCACATGTCATGTCCCGAACAATATGCCGTATCCCCGAGATATTATTTCCTAACAGAAATCTATCCTTTTTACTTTCGGAAACACTCGACACCTTCTGCCTCCACTGTCTGGTCTCCCTCGGGAACCCGTTCCATACTTTTACTACTCGCTCACTGTACCCCCAGGCCAAGGATTCTACCTGGTAAGACGGGTGAAATGTCGCAGTTCCTGATCTGTGTCCTGGGCAGGTTTGACTCCACTGAGGAGAACGTGAGTGCATCTGCAGTGGAGTCCTGTAGCTCAGTGGTTAGAGCCCTCGCCTCGCAAGCGAGAGGACCCAGTTCAATTCCCGGGCGGGTCAGGTCGAAACCTTATAAGATAAGATTCCTCGGTCCAGACACACGCCTCTGTTTACCCAGCAGTGAGTAGAAACCTGTCTGTTAGTCAATGCTCTTCTGGGGTCAATAATCCCTTCAAAACTAAAAAAAATAATAATTTGGTTACTCAATCCACCCTGTTTGTGGGGACGCTGCTGTGCGCAATTGGCTGCCACATTTCGCCCACAAAATACAATGACAAAAGTCAGTTCACTTTCCAGCGTATCCTGAGAAGCGCTTTGAGAGGTCTCGAAGACGTGATAAGGCGCTGGGTCAAATCCCAGGATTATTATTATTATTATTATTATTACTATTGTCTGTGTGGAGACTGTCCTCAACATATACTGAGTGACCTCCGCATTCTCGAGGGAGAGGGAGAGAGAGAGAGAGAGTGGAGACCTGCAGGCAATGCTGTATTATGCTTTGAGACATCAAAACGACATATTAAGGCATTATATCAAGCACAGGTATTATAATTATTATTATTACTAACCTCAACGCAGTGATTCTCACTCACTGTAACACTCCTCTCTTTCTCACCCCACCCCACCATTATAATCCTCACTTCTCCTCTCTCTGCCCACCATATTATCACCTATATTTTATTTTAAGATTAAACTTATTTTATTTATAATCTGCTGAAACTGTTTCTGGAATATGGGTGGAATATGTTTAGTTCCACACGTTGATGTGTTTGCCACCGTTGGTTATTAAGGGAAACTAAACCTGTGATCGCACACACGTGCCCACATACACGCACTGACACGCGCTTCCTGTGAGCAGTCACATTTAAAATAAATTTATACATTTTCGCACAGCGAGTTGTTGGGTTCTGGAATGCGTTGGCGGAAAGCAGATTCGATAACAGCTTTTAAGAGACAAGGAGATAATTATTTGGGGAGGACAAGTTTGCAGGGCTGTGGGGAGAGAGCGGGTCGGGGGAGAGGGATAGAATCGGGAAAGCTCTTTTAAAAGAGCCAGTCCGGACACGATGGGCCGAATGGCCTCCTTTTGCGCTGTATAATTCTATGATTCTATGTTATGTAGAGTCCTGTAACTCAGTGGTTAGAGCGCTCGCCTCGCAAGCGAGAGGAGCCAAGTTCGATTCCCGCGCGGGCCGACTGCTTAGGCGAGTTTCCTTACTCCACACGTCTCTGTTTACCTAACGGTTAAGTAGGAACCCGGTTGTTAGTCAATTGGTGGATCGCTTTCCGGGGGTAATAGAAATGTATAGAAATCCTTTGTACAGTCCTGATCCCAACCATAGATCCGAATGGGATCTTATTCCACACTCAGCAGACAACGACAACAACTTGTACTTACATAGCGCTCCTCGCGCAGGGTAGAGCCCAGAGCACCTGACGACAGTACCTCTTCCTCCTTTGCCCACACCCTCCCCACACCCCCAGCCCCACCCCAGATCCCCCAAATGCTCCACAAACGAATCAGACAAAAGCCGATGATTCTTAGCAAAGAAATAAAGTTTTTATTCAGTTGAAAGCTGCTTGTGTGGAGCTTTGAAGATTAAAACGCGTCCTTGAAGAGCGTGCGGTGAAATCCAGTTGGCTTGATTACTGCTGGACTCTGCGGATGGATTGGATCTGGAAGGTTTGCGAGTGAGATCCCCATTCTCGCCAGTGCTTGTACTCACCAGAATGGTGGTCGCACTCCATGATGAACTGGTAGCCACGGTATCCAGGGAATTGATAACACACCCACCTGGAGAGAGAAGGAACGTCAGGATTCAACATCAGGCAAACCAGGAACAGCTGGCGGTCAACTTGCTTGGAGTCAACCTTGCAAGCCAAGGCCCTAACGGGGAGGGTAGTCCTCGCTGGACAAGCAGCGGGGAAGCTGGCCAGACAGCGCTCACAATGGCAAAGCTATGTGGTTTTAGCTGGACAGACTCCAGCAGTTACCCCCAACGCACACTCTGGGCTCCTTCCCCCCCCCCACCACCCCAAGCCTTGGCTCTTGCCAACCTGCGCCTAATTCTCTCTGGAATTAGGTAAGCAGGAGGCATCCCTCCAGGGGGAGAGAGAGAGAGAGAGCACATTCCATTCCAACAATCCGGGATTTCCGTGTGTAGGTGGGAGGCCTGGAGATCTCAGCTTGGGTTTGGAAACTCTTAAGCAACGGCGACGGGTTTCCTCATGAGTCAGATGTAGAAAGGACCTTGAACGGCCGCCTCAGGGTGACAAAACAGACGACTTAATTGCGAAGCCAATTCCCTGGGGAGCGAGTAAAAGTTACCAGGTGACTTACGCTCCAGAATGGATGCGGAAGGATCCAACCTCGTTGTTGCACCAGCCCATGGCCTGCAGAGATGGGTAGTCATCAGCCAACTCGCCCTTCCTTCCCAGAAAGTTCTCTCTCTCGTACATGGACATCCTGCATTCACGGTGGTTCTGGTGGGAGGGAAGTTAAAGGGGGGGATTAAAGGGAAGAGCGAGCTATTCAGCGAAGGATTGTTTCTAGGAGCTTATTATTAATAATAATAATATTACTAATGACCCTCGCACTTGATGCAGCGCTTTTTCACATCTTCAAGATGTCTCAAAGCGCTTCACTGGATGTACTGTAAAGTGTAGTGACTGTATATTTTGTGGGTGAAACGCGGCAGCCAATTGCGCACAGCAGCGTCCCCACAAACAGTCGGGGATTGTGTGACCAGATTATTATTAGTATTTTATTAAGGGATTATTACCCCCTGGAAAGCGATCCACCCATCGACTCACAACCGGGTTCCTGCGAGGTAAACAGCGGCGTGTGTGTGGAGTAAGGAAACTTGCCTAAGGTCGCACCCTCTCCCGCTTAGCTGGGAGTCGAACGTGTGTCCTCTCGTTTGCGGGGCGAGTGCTCTAACCCCTGAGCTACGGATGTACTTACAGCGCAGGCGATTGGTCGGAAGGAAGTCAGACGCTCGACGTGGTAGGCGTTGCTGCCACTCCAGCTATCCCATCGTGGATACTCGCCTCGCTCCAGGATAAACTGCTGCCCTTGGAACCCAGAGTGTTCATAGCCAACCCAACTACACAGCAGAGAGAACGGCGGTCAGCAATCATACCTGGACATCTGGCTTCTGCCCTCCACGGCCTTGCTCCTCCTTCCTTCCTCTGTGACCTGCTATCTCCATCCTAACCTGTCCATTCCCTCTGCTCCAGGTTTCCCTGCCCCCACCCTTTGGAACTCCATCCCACAGCCCCTCCGCCTCGACCCCTTCCCTCGCTCCCTTCAAGGCACGTCTCAAGGCACCTCCCCTACGTCCGCACCTGCCGCCATCCTCCTACCCCCCACCCTCCCTGCCCTCCACCCCTCCTGATCCCAACCCCCAGCTCGCGTCCAAATCCCTGACTGTCCAGCGCCTTGGGACGTCCTCCAGACGTGACAGGCGCCGTGTGAATGTAACTTGTTGTTGTTGGCGTGTACCATGAATAACGCTGACATCTGTTGGCAGAACACTGGTGCTGCACTCACCTTATCTTTAACAATGATAACTCTTACATTTGAGCCACTAAGTCCCGGAACTCTCTCCCTCTACCCCTCCGTCTTGCCCCCGTCTCCCCCATCTTCAGGTCGCGCCTGAAGACCTTCCTCTTCGGTCGTGCCTGTGGTCATCTCCCCCCCTCCCCCCCCACCCCGCCGGCTCGGTGTCAGACTCTGCCACTGTCGAGCTCTCTGGGGTGCTGTGTAAATGCAAGTTGTTGTTGGTCTCGTGCATTGCAGTTTCCTAGGCAGTCGAGAAAGTGCGAGACGTAAACTAGACACTCACGCTCCACTCTCCACCTTCATGGAGCGCACGGTTTCGAAGCCGGCCTCCATGATGTTGTAGCACTCAGCTGTGAACTCATGTCGACGGCCCTGGAAACACTCCTCATCCCAAACGATGATCTACAGGAGAGCAGAAAGAGACAGAGAGAGAGAGAAAGGTTGTCAGTGCTGAGGTGACGTGAAATGGTTATAATAACAATAATGATCCTTGCATTTTATACAGCGCCTTATCACGTCGTTGATTAGTCTTAAAGCGCTTTGCAGAATATATCGCCAGGTGTATATTTTGTGGCCAAATGCGGCAGCCAATTGCTCACAGCAGAGTTCCTTCAAAACAGTCATGAATTCAGTGACCATATATTTTTTTGGAGGGCTTATTACCCACTGGAAAGCGATCCGACAATCTCCGAACAGCTGAGTTCCTACTGACTGCTGGTAAACAGAGGCATGTGGAGTAAGGAAACTTGCCCAACTTGCCTGGGAGTCAAACCCGGGTCCTCTTGCTTGCGAGGCGAGCGCTCTAACCACTGCACTACAGGACTGCACACTTGCCTCTCATTTCCCGGAGCCTGTGGTTGGGTAGGTACCTACCTTCCAGTGGCTGGAGAATTTGGTGCAGTGAGACATCATGAAAACGGTTTCCTCTCAAAGTTCTGAAAAGGCAAAGCCCCCAACCCCGAAAGAGAATGTTAACGCTTGCCGCTAATTGTGCCGTTTGACAGTCACTACACCTCGAAGTGTCTCGTTGTGAAGCGCACAGCGACACATTGGAGCTTCCACCTCTAACTCTTCCTCTCTATTTTTATTCTCTCTCATCCTCACGCTCTCTCTCTCTCTCCCACCCCCACTCCGTATTCCCCTTTCTCTCTTTCTTCTCTCTCTCTCGCCATCGTTTCCCCACTCTCGTGCTTTCCCTCTTCCCGCGCTCTCCCTTCCTCTCTCTGTCATTCCCCCTTTCATCTCTTATCTCTTTCTCTTCACTCTCACTCTCTTTCTCCTCTCTCTCCCTCTGCCCCGTCTCTTCCAATTAAGCAGAAACTTCCAAATAAATCCTCTTACGCGCAATCCCAAAATATTCCCTGGAAGCCTCCGTCACTCGCAACAAGCGGCCCCGCTAGTTAAACCAGTTCAGCAGTCTGTACTGCACGTTCGATGATTTCCTTTACTCACCCACCTTGCCAAACCTGGGTTGAAACGAGCTGTAGTGAAGGGTATTTTCTGGCCTGGGTTTTTATAGCCTCCAGGGTAAGTGGAGTCAACGGTCTGTTGGAGTCCAGCATTGTTCAAATCCCTTGCTCAGCAACGTGGGAGGGCTTTCAACCTCAGCCATTTATTGTTCCGAACAACATACAGCTCTGGGCTGACCTATGGAGAACAGCGGGATACAGCCTGCAGACTGCAAACACATCACATCACATCGCCAACGATGACTGTGACCCTTTAACCTGCGAGTGTCTGTGTGTCTTGTGCTCGTTCAACAGGTCCATCCTCACCTTTAAACCTGGCTGAGGACTATTGAGTCAAACCACAGCTGGTTACTTCACCCACAAAACACACAGTCGCTCCACTTTACAGTATATCCTGTGAAGCGCTTTTAGTCGTCTCGAAGACGTGATAAGGCACTATATCAAATGCCAGGATTATTATTATCATTATTATTATTATTGCGACGTCTCAAAGTGCTTCACGGAACATATATTGTTAAGTGGATTGACTGTGATAGGCAATATAGACAGCACAAGACAGGTTTGAGTGAAGAAGGCACTCTATCAAATGCAAGGATCATTATTATAATTATTATAAATGCACAGAAATGCACATTAACACTACAGTACATGAATGTAAATTGTGTTATAATGACTCGAGCATCTCTTTCGTTTGAATTTAGGGGTTAAATTGGATTAGGAGGAGATATTCCGGAAGGGGGAAATCAAGTAGACCAAAGGACCTTTGCCACGCAAACGTCACTTCTGAAGTGTGTTGTGGATGTGCTGTGAACAGTGCAAGTAATATCTCTCAATGTGGTGCCAACACTCCCTCCCTCCACACATTCCTCCCCCACCCACCCCCAATAGTTTATCACCCGCTCTCTATTCCCACAGCTCACTATATGTAACATGAAGATTGTTAAAAATGAGCGTTAGTTGGAGTAACTGATTAGGCCCCAGTTATGCACAACTCTAGATATCCAGCACTTCACACTCCAGCTTTCTGAAAGAAAACTTTCCTTTGCATTTTTAATAATCCTTAATAATGATAATAATCCTTCCATCTGATACAGCGCCTTATCAGGCCTTCAAATTGTCTTAAGCGCTTCACAGGATAGACTGTAAAGTGAATTGACTGCGTGTTTTGTGGGCGAAACGCGGCAGCCAATTGCGCACAGCAGCGTCCCCACAAACAGTCGTGGATTGACTGACCATTTATTTTTATTTTGAGGGATTATTTACTCCCAAAGAGCGATCTGTCAATCGACTAACAGGCGGGTACCTACTTACTGCAGGTAAACAGAGGAGTGTGTGCGTGGAGTAAGGAGACTTGCCTAAGGTTTGGCCTGGGAATCGAACCCGGGTCATCTTGCGAGGCGAGGCGAGAGGTCTAACCACCGAGCTACGGGACTCTCTCTTTTTGAGCCGCGCTGCGGGATCTTAAACCATCCACCTGGACAGTCGCAGGCGGGGAGTGAAGTTTAAGGCTCAGGGTCACTCTGGACCGATTAGCAAAAGTCATGAAGTCAGTCCTTTGGATTATTTTTTTTGTGTGGCGTCAGGAAAAACATGTAAACTGCGGAACAATGCTGCGATGCCTGTTTCAGCTGACGGTGAATTGTGATTGTTCCAGCTCATTGAATCTGCTGCAGGAATAATGTGATGACTTCTGGGTTTGCGTGGCGGACTCTGATGAGCCGTCAGATCTATTGTCACCCTTCGTTCCGCGCCCGCTGTTGCCAGAGTATAAATTGACCGGTGATTTGTCAGTGGACACATATTCTCCCAGTCAGCGGCAGATCAACAGGTGAGCCAGCGAGCGAGCGAGCGAGCGGGAGAGGGGGTGAGAGTAGAGAGAGAAAGCGCTTGGGCGGGTGAGAGAAAGAGAGAGTGCAAGAGAGTGTGTGGGAGAGAGTATAGGTGTGGGAGAGGGAGAGAGAGAGAGAGAGTGTTTGAATGTGTGAGAGTATGCGTGAGAGAGAGATAGAGCATGTGTGTGTGTGTGTGAGAGAAATTGTGCAAGACCCAGCCTGTGTGAAGGATGCTATAGAAATGCAAGTTGTTGTTGATTTCTTTTCCTCCCTCGCCCCCTCCTCCCCTCTCCCCTTCTCTCCCCCACCACTTTCCTCTCTCAGTTCGATATCAACCAGAATGTCTCAGGCCACCAAAGGAACCAGCCAGGGGTCAGCGACCCAGACCTCCACCCAGGACAAGGGCACCCCAGCCCCCGCTTCAACCCCCACCCCAGCCTCCAAAATCCTCAAGAATGTGGAGCCTGGACAAGGCAACTTCCGGGTGAGTCACAGCTGTCAGCAGCTCGGGGTGTGGGGGAGCCAGTGTTCCCGTATTCCCGGGTTTCTATGTTCCTATGTTACCATTTCAGCGTGAAGTTAGTACTGTAGGTTCTCAGGTTCCTGCCTTCCCATGTTTACACGTTCCCATTTCAGTGTAAAGTTAGTATGTTTTCACATTCCTATGTTCACATGTCCCCGTGTTCCTATGTTACTGTGTTCCTATGTTACCGTGTTCCTATGTTACCGTGTTACCATGTTACTGTGTTCCCGTGTGCCCATGTTACTGTGTTCCTGTGTCCGGTGTCTCCTGTCTGACTCCTTGCCCTCTCCTTGCAGATGATGATTTACGAACAGGAGAACTTCCAGGGCCGTCACATGGAGTTCACCACCGAGTGCGTGAACCTGTGTGAGCGCAGCTTCGACAGAGTGGGCAGCGTGCGTGTGGACTGTGGACCGTAAGTCACCCTCAGTAAACACGGGACCGTACACAGAGGATAGATATGTGGTGGGAGAATCAAATGGACCATCTAAAATCACCCACCGCACTACACCACATCACACCACAACACAACACACCACAACACACCACATTATACCACATCAACACACCACAACACACACAACACAACACACCACACTATACCATATCACAACACACCACACTATACCACATCACACCACAACACACCACAACACAACACACCACACTATACCATATCACAACAGACCACACTATACCACATAACAACACACCACAATACACCACATCACAGGAGGCTCTCTAAGGACAGAGAGAGATGGAAATGGTACCTCACGATGTGCCTGAGATCCATCAATATGGCTGAGATGAGATAGTTATTGGAAGACGTGAAAGGGTTTGTTAATTCCTGGAGGAGATGTTACATGATGTTGATGTCGAAAGAACTATTATTGGGTCAGACTTGTTCACCAGGGCAATACCACTTGCTCCGGGCTTCTCTTCTCTCCTCTCTTAGGTCTCTTATCTTCTTCTCTCTTTCCTTCCCCAGTTGGGTGGCTTACGAGCAGGCCAACTTCCGTGGAGAGATGTTCATCCTGGAGAAGGGAGAGTATCCTCGCTGGGACTCGTGGTCAAACAGCTACAGGAGTGACCGTTTCATGTCCTTCCGTCCTGTCTGCATGGTAACCTTCCCATACAATCCTATAGAGTTCCACCAGTTGCCTTTACATTAAAAGCCGGGAGACAATAGCCCAGATTTGATGGTGGTAAAAACCCTTAAGACTTGGTTCGGGGCTGAGTCGGAGCCAGAGTGATAGCTTGGGATGTGATTAGTTGCAGCCCGTCCTTGGGTTAGGGTTGGGGCGATCGTCACTGGGGCAATGGCTAACTTGGGGACCATCCCTCAATGGAAAGGGGGTAAAAGGAGTGTGATGGGGAGGGGAGACAGGAGACAATGGCAGGAACACAATAGGCAGCCGATGCCTCACAGGTATCTGGGGTTTGCTTTGACAGGATAACCAGGAACACAAGATCTGCCTGTTTGAGATCGCCGAATTCAAGGGCAACAAGATGGAGATCATGGAGGATGATGTGCCAAGTCTGTGGGCGTACGGTTTCTGTGACCGCGTGGGCAGCTTGAGGGTCCCCAGTGGAACGTGAGTATTTCTGTAGCACCATCCAGGAGGACTAACCAACTAAAACTACATAGCTTACCATTGAGAGCACTGTCTGGCAAGCTTTCCTGCTGCTTTTCCAGCTAGGACCATCCTAGCCATTAGGGCTTTGGCTCTCTTCTCGATCATCATTGATCTGCTCGACATTGATATAATAATAATAATAATAATAATAACAATCCTTGCATTTGATATAGCGCCTTATCACGTCGTCAAGACGTCTCACAGTGCTTCACAGAATACACTGTGAGGTGGAGTGACTGCAGATTTTCTGGACGAATGTCTGATGCGCGCGAGCGTGTGTGTGTGTGTGTGTGTGGGCGGAGTGGGCGGTGGGATCAAAGGGGAGTGATGATTCTGTGTATGACGCCCAGTCTCCCTCTCCTGTCATAGGTGGGTTGGCTACCAGTACCCAGGTTACAGAGGTTACCAATACCTGTTTGAGATGGGAGATTATAAGCACTGGAACGAGTGGTCTGCTCAGCAGCCTCAGATCCAGTCAATTCGTCGCCTGAGAGACATGCAGTGGCACCAGAAAGGCTGCTTCCAGTTCGCTACCAAGTGAGGACGTCCGCAGGCTTGCTATCTGACGGAGAGTCCGAAGCTGCCCATTTATTTAATGGAATAACTTAAGTTTAACTTCAACGATTTACTATTTTTAATTCATTTCTTTTTTTGCTCTGGTCAGCTGCATTTCTCCGTACTTTACAGTGTAAAGCAGATCGATCGATTAATCGATCAGTCGGAATTCAAACCACCAACGTTTGTGAACTTAATAAAGACAATTTATTAAGCCAAAATCTGATGTCTCGGTCCTGGTTTGTCGACGGGTTCAATAATAATAATAATAATAATAATAATAATAATAAGCCTTGCATCTGAGATGTCTCGACGACGTGATAAGGCGCTATATCAAATGCAAGGATTATTATTATTATTATGAGAAGGGGGGAAGAGGAGATGGGAGAGGGTGGGGAGGACGTGTAAACTGAATAGCAATGGGGAGCACAAACACTGATGGGTTTGAAGACTGGATTCTCTACAATAATAATAATAATAATCCTTTCATTTGATGCAGCGCCTCATCATGTCTTCAAGACATCTCAAAGCACTTCACAGAATATACCGTAAAGTGAATTGACTGTGTATTTTGTGAGCGAAACGCAACAGCCAATTGCGCACAGCAGCGTCCCCACAAACAGCCGTGGATTGAAGTGACCAATTTATTATTTTTTTTGAAGGAGTTATTACCTCCAGAAAAGCAATCCACCAATCGACTAACAATGGGGTTCCTGCTCACTGCTGGTAAACAGAGGCGTGTGGAGTAAGGAAACTTGCCCGACATTTCGCCCTGTCCGGGAATCGAACCCAGGTCTCTCGCTTGCGAGGCGAGTGCTCTGAACACTGAGCTACAGGACATCCACCCTCTCGGCAGTCATGGCTCTAGGCATTGCCCTAGGCGGACAATGATCAGTGGTCGTGTTGACGGACACGAGCCAGGACTGACATGTGACCACACTGTCAACGTGTTTCCTGCAACTCTCCCAAATCCCCGTATGTATAATTGTTATTAATATTCCCATTACGAGGCTGTCTTGCTATTAAAAGCTATGATTCGATTAGGTCTCAGTGCTATAATTGTCTGTGACATAGTAAAGTTACACAGAGAGAAAGAGAGAGAGAGAGAGAGAGAGAGACCCAGGCTTCTCTCCACCTGACACTCTCAGTCACACAGCAGCGAGCTCCAGCCTTTGGGAGGCCTTTGCGTGAGTGTGGACATCTCTTCGGTTCAGTAACTGGAGGAATTTTGCCAGATAAGGGAGGAGGACGTCTGTTTTTGTGTTCAGTTGAGCTCGGCCGTTCTGGACAGATCCTCCGTTTGTTTCCAAGACACAGGGGGGTGGGAGAGTGGGTTGAAATCCCAACTGGGTCTAGATTTACTCTGTTTACATATAGCAAAAATAATGATACACAGGTTTAATATCACACCTTTCGGGTCAGTGAAATAATCCAACCAGAAAATCCCTCCAACAAAAAAATGGTGCGGTCACTCAATCCATAACTGTTTGTGGGACATCACTGTGGGCAATTTGCTGCCGGATTTCGCTCATAAAATATATCCTGTAATCATCCCATTACAGTATATCCTGTGAAGCCCTTTGAGATGTCTCAATGACATGATAAGGCGCTCTATCAAACACAAGGATTATTATTATTATTATTATTATGAACACAGAGCTCATTCAGAGAGTATGTGTGATGGGTTGTAAAATTCTATCAATCTACAAACCTGTTTGAATTGGTAAATGAGAGATACCGAGAGCTTAGAAGCGAGGGGAGTTTATGAGACTCTTTTTTTCACACAAAGGGTCGTTGGAATTACCAAATCCTGTCACTTCCAAGTCAGGTGGTCGAGACAGAGCAGTGTGGGTTTCAAGAGGGAAGTGGACAGGAAGGCTGGAGGCTTGAAGGGGTGTGAGGACAAGGTGGGGCAGTGGGGACTGAATGAAAAGTTGCCCTGAGAATTGGTGTGGACGTGATGGGCTGAATGGCTTCCTTCTGCCATGTGAGTTTCTGTGATACAACGATGCTGGAAGAGGTATTAAGGGGCGTGGCGGAAGGGCAGGGGGTGCTGGGGCTGAAAGATCTGCGAATAAAACTGAGGCAGGAGGAAAAGCTACCATTAATTTTGAAACCAGCTTCTGTGGAACGATGCTCGGAGATGGAAGTGCGTCCTGCTTGGGCCCAGTGGCAGCATTCTCGCCTCTTGTGACGTCTCGACGACGTGATAAGGCGCTATATCAAGTGCAAGGATTATTATTATTATTATTATTATCAAATAAAGTGTGACACGGACGCAAAGGGCTGATGATCAGAGATACCCTGTGTCGCCCTCTCTCTCTCTCTCTCTCTTTCTCTTTTTCTCCCTCACACACTCACACATGCCCAAACGTGGAATGAGGGAATATTTATAGCACTGAGCTGTGTCCAGTCAGCTGTTACTGCTCTGTTATCATACAGTGAGTGTGTGTGTCGGACTGGGGACAGGGAGAGGGGGAGGGGGAGTGAGACATATGGTAGGGGCTGCCCTCATCACATTTCTCTGTCTGTGGCCCGGTCGGTTCGAAGGGATCTGTTTAACCGCTGTTGAGGAGACGGTTCAAATCCAAGGCAATAAAGGTCGGAAATTAGGAGAAGCCGGGAATCTCGCAAGGTATTTTCTCTCGTGCTGGTCTGGGAAGTTGGGAAAGAATCTTTACCGAGGAGACTTGTGTGTTTTACGGGCTGTGTTATCTGCACTCTGCCTGTGTGCTCGGACCAGTTGGGATTATTTTTATCCTACCATTAGGACAGCTGCCTCGAGAGTGGCTAAGCTCTCGTCTCTGGGCTCCGAGTCTCTCTCTCCCTCTCTTTCTCTCTTTTTTTCTCTTTCTCTTTCTCCGGGTTGACCGAATAGAGACTTCTCCCGTCAGCCCTCCCACATCCATTTCACGCTTCATTTATTTATTTAATAATAATAATAATAATCCTTGCGTTTGATACAGCGCCTCAGCACGTTATCGAGACGCCTCATAGCGCTTCGCGGGACACACTGTAAAGTGTAGTGACTGTGTAGCTAGGGACAGGCAAGTGGATTAAATTAAATAGGACGACGGGTTGAGTGGCAATGGTGGTTAAGCGCTCTGGGACGCTACCCTGCATGTCTGGCGCTGTATAAATGCAAGTTGTTGTTATCTGACTGCGGCTAAAAAAAAATTGCCGGTCGTCAGTGAGGCTTGAGCTAATAATACAGAGCCCTGTATTCAGGTCTAGACTGAGGCAGAACCTGAGGCAATATAGAACTAGACTGAGATCTGCATCCAGTTCTGGGTTTGGGTCCAAACCTATTTTAAATAAGGAATAGAAATTGTTAGAACTGTGGGAGAATTCTCAGCTCCTCAGACTGTGTTAGAAACGATAATTCGTCATATACTTCAAAAATAATCCTCGCATTTGATGTAGTGGCTACAACAACAACAATAATAATAATCCTCGCATTTGATATAGCGCCTTATCGCATCATTGAGACGTCCCAAAGAGTTTTACCGGATATATATAAAGTGAATTGGCTGTGTATTTTGGTGTCAATATGTCTCAAAGTCCTTCACTGCCTGGACTGTAGTGACTGTGTATTTTGTGGGCGAACGCGGCAGCCAATTTGGCGCAGAGCAACACGGCATGAACAGCCACGAAGTGAGTGATCAATTATTATTTGACGGATTGTCGGCCAGGACACCGAGAGAGAGAGAGAGAGAAACTCCCTTCTCTTTTCGAACAGGGAGATCTTTGACGTCCACCTGAACGGGGCACAGACGGGGAGTGAGTGAGGTTTAATGTCTCATCCGAAGGACTGCGTCTCCGATAATTCTTACTGCTGACTAATACGCTCTTAAATCGACCTTCACGGGGGTGGGGGGGAGTGGGGAGTAAACATTCCAACATGAAGTACAGTATCTGAGTCATAGGAAAATAATCCTCAGGGCCTTGGAATTGCAGGTTAGGCCGGAGGATATATATTAGATGTGTCAACAAGGAACGACTGGTCAAGGCTGTTGCCTAAATGGGCCTCAACAAAGTGTCTCTGAGCCTCTGTTTGCACATGTCCCTTTAAGAGGTGACTTTACAGCTGTCTATGCTTTGGTGTTGGGTCTTGCTTCGTTGCCCCATTAACCTCTGTCCCCACGTTGGGCAAACAGGACCTGCATTTGGGCATAGACTGCGAGGTGACAGACATGTTAAAAGGTGCTAAGTTGGATGTTCGATAACCTTAGCCTCAACATTCACCAGGGGAACTCCATCCTAAACCTGCACTGAATATTACAGAGGGAGAACATCCCACTAACAGCTGGAAGCTACCATTTGATACAGCGCCTTACCACGTTTTCAAGACGTCTCAAAGCGCTCCACAGGATTTACCGTAAAGTGGAGTGACTGTGTCAACAACAACTTGCATTTACACAGCCCCCTTTATAGGGGGAGTAGCGTAACGGTGGGTTTAACAGTGATGCCGAGCCGGGGGGGGGGGGGGGGGGTGGCGGGGAGAGAGACTGGGGGTGGTTGGGGGGGTGGGAGTTGACCGTAGACACGGTCGAAAAGGAAAGTCTTCGGGTGTGATCTGAAGACGGGCAAAGAGGGAACAAGACAGAGGGATTGAGGCAGAGACATGCGGAGAGGTCCAGGGAAAGAAACGTAATAGTTAGATGTTCCTCTTTCCGACTTCACAAGACTGGCACGGAGCGAGCCTGGGGTCAGTGAGTGCGGATAATATTCTGACCTTGAATGGCATTAATTACCGGTGACAGGGCAACCACACCATAATGGGACACTGGCTGCATCTCAATGAGAACCAAATTGCAGGGAAAGTGCAGTGACTGTGTATTTTGCGTCTGAGCAAAAACCCTACTGTCCATTTCTCTGTTTTATGTGACATCATTTCTGTGTGTTCACTACAGGACTAATCACACTGCTGTTTTCCCCTTTCTTCCTCTCTCTCTCTCTTTATTTTTTCTCTCCATTTTCCCCTCCCGTCTTTGTCTCACATCCATCGGGAAAATCTGCATGAATCCTGTTCACCCATCGTGTCGTTTCCATCTTCCACCATCAATCCATCCGTCCACAAAGCCCATCCCTTCAAAATGGCCGTCTCCTCACGTCGTGCACTATGGGAACAAAAGGAAAGTCCTCTTTCTGGGTCAAAGGTTTACCTCCTGCATGCGCGGCAATGGAGTTGCTTCGTTTCGGGGTTAAAGGTGTGAGAGATGTTCCACTAATTTCGAAGGGTTAGATGCAGCAAGAGGATATTTTTCTGTGGAAAACACACTAAACACCGCAACGCGTCTGTGTGAAAAGGGTAACAGCCGTGGTCTGATCGGGTAAGGTATCAGACCGTGAGGAATGGACGCACGTGTGTGATGTGGAGTTTGGATTTAACCTCGACTTGGGCAAGGATTTGAATAGCTTTATGACTACATTGGGAATTGGGAGGTGAAGGTTATGTGAGATCCTGAGAGGCGGCATCATAACAACAGTAATACTAATACTACTAATAATACGATTACTACTAATAACACGACAACTAATAATAATCCTTGCGTTTGATATAGCGCCTTATCACGTTTTCAAGACGTCTCAAAGCGCAAAAGGTGGATTGACTCTATATTTTGATGGGGCAAAACCCAGCAGGCAAGTGTGCACAGCAGTGACCCACAAACAGTCGTGGATCGAATGACCAAATTATTATTATTATGTTTTGGCGGCATTATTAACCCCAGAAAAGTGATCCGCCAATCGACAAAAAAAAACGGGATCCTACTTTACTGCTAGATAAACAGCGGCACGTGGAGTAAGGAAACTTGAGTAGTGACTGAAAGCACGGCCACCGATGTTGGGATGAAGGGTACGAGGGACTAGCGGGAGGCTGCGGACAGTCGAGCAGAGGCAGCAAGCAGTGGGTTGGGGGGTAAGCAGGTCGGAGAGGTAGGCAGGTGTCAGGGCCTGACGGGATTTGAAGATCAATCGTGGAAAAGGATCTCAAACTCTGCCATTGCAAAACAGGTATTTCTGCTGTTTTCATTCAGTTTGCTATCGTGAAACCTCTCCCGCTTTGAAACCCCCTCCCCACGCCCCCCCACCCCCCGCTACATGCTCCCCTCGCCACCCCTTCCACGCACCCAATAAAATTGACCTTTGCACGCGTCTCCTGTAAATAGAAGTCATCTCAAAATTGGAGCCAGGCCATTTAGGAGTGAAATCAGGCAGCATTTTTTTCACACAAAAGGTTGTGAAAATCTGGAATTCTCTTCCCCCCCCCTCCCAAAAAGCTGTGGATTATGGCTGGATCCATTCACATTTTCAAGACTGAAGTGGAAAGATGTTTGCTGGCTCAGGGGATCGAGGGATATGGGCAAAGGCAGGTAATTGGGGTTGAGGTACAGATCAGCCTTGATCTAATAGAATGGAGGAACAGGCTCGCGGGGCTGAATGGCCTCCTCCTGCATCCTATGTTCCTATGAAATGACTTGATTCATTTTGTCTTAATGTAGATCAAGGAAGAAGAACGGCCGCCTCCTCCCCCGGCCCCTCCCCCGCTCTCGCCCGTGGCCCCCGCGGGCTTTATCAAGCAGCTCGTGCGGGAAACGGAGAAGGAAGCCAGGCTGCCGAAGCACCGAGCCAAGGAGCAGAGACCGAGCCAGCACGTGAGTGGGCCTGAGAGGCAGCGCTTGGTCCAGCGGGGGGGTGGGGGGGGGGCAGTGACAGACACAATCCACCAGGGGGTGCTCTTGCCCTGTTGAAACCCTGCCACGTTGACTCTCTTTTGGGTTCGCCGGGTGTCTGACATGAGTTGAATCCCGTCACCGTTGCTTAAGAGGCTCCAATCCAAACTGAGAATTCTCTGCATCCCACCTACACATGGAAATTCCAGGGATACATTGTCGGAATGGAATCGCACTCTCTCCCTCTCTCCCTGGAGGGATGCCCCCCTGCCCCCTGCCTACTGAAATCCGGAGAGTATCAGGTGCAGGTTGGCAAGAGCCAAGGCTTGGGGGGAACCCAGAGTGTGTGTTGGGGTAACTCCTGGAGTCTAACCAGCTAAAACCACACGTAGCTTGGCCATTGAGACCACTGCCTGGCCAAGCTTTCCCGCTGCTTGTCCAGCGAGGACCTGTTAGGACTTTGGCCTGTGGGGTTACCAGGAGCTGAGGGGGAGGATTCCCTGCCCCCAGTGACTGGTCGGCCCTTCCAGGTCCTGCCGATGAGCCGGGCCGGGCTGAGCTGCCGTCAGCAGTGCCCTGAGATACTGCGGCCCCTCCTGGCTCAGGAACCGGGACTAGAGACCGGCACAGAGGGTGGGGGGGTCGGAGGGTGGGGGGGGGGTCTCGATTTTGATATTGCGTTACCCAACATGTCTCCCGTGTTGTGTTGTGTTGTGATGCATGTGGTGCCACTGAGCACCTGTTGGTGGCACCATTGAGCTGTCTGTCACACACGCACACACACACACACGGTGCCTCCGCAGCGCCGTCCGCGGGTATCCACCGGTAGTGTAACCCGACTTCCCAACTCAATGTATGTCGTCCTTTGGCCCATGTGAATGGAATGGAGTCGGGATCCGAAGGTGTCCACTGCTCCTCTGAAGTCGACAGACATTGCGCATCAAAAGGAAGTGATTCGCTCACTGCCTCCGAGTGCTGAAAGTGTTCAAGTTTCCTAACAATGTGTATTTTGTGCTCCGTGATTGTCTTCCCCGATCCTTCCAACTTCGCCCATCTTGTTTGAACCTCTGTGCGCGCCGAACTCTCGTTGTTCTGTGTTTCTTTTTCCTTCCATTTCCCTCCGGACCTTTAACCGTTAACCCTTCGCCTGTCTCCCCTTTGCAGCCTCCGGGTAAATTGGATGACGGTACGATTCAATATTTCTTACAGCTGACACAGAATGCCAACCCGCCGGTAGAGAGAGAGGAAGAGATGGCCAGCAGAGAGCCATCGCTTCTGGTCAATGGTCACGGTGAAGCCGGGCTGGAGACGGACGCCAGAGTCCGGGGGAAGCCGGGGAAAGTGACCAGGCAGCCGCGAGTGGGGCAGGGAATGTCTTTGCCTGTAGATCAGGGCCCGGATTCCGTCAGTGTGGATCTCGCTCCACGTGAAGGCACTTCCTACAAATCTGCAGCCAATGTGGTTGCTGTAGAAACGCTGCTCGGAGCTGAGCAGCCCGGCGGAGACGGGGAGACGGAGAGGGATGGTGGCAAGTCGCCGGTGGAGTTGGACTTGGAGTTGGAGGGTGGGGAGGGGCAGGAGTCCGGTATTCCACCCGTCGAGGGGCTCAGAGCAGAGGAACAAGTGATGCAGACACAGGACAAGTGTGAGGAAGGTCTAGAGAAGGAACTGGAGGTACAGAAGATAACTGTTCACACACATACACACTCACACACACACACACACCACACCCACACCCACACCCACACACACACGTACCACACATACACATACACCACACAGACACACTCTCTCTCTCTCACTCTCTCACACTCACACGCCCATCACTCAGTTTATGTTATAGTTTTGCTTTGCTCAGCCGGGTGTCTGACACATTACCCACCGAGCTTCAGAGTATCCCACCCGCACATGGAAATTCCAAAGCTGGAGAGCAGAGGGGAAAACACAAACGTATGAATCGGTAATTGCAGGAGAACACGTTCTCTGTTTGGGATCTACATTTAACCTGAAGCCAAAGTGCATCGACTGCATTTAACTGTGACTCTTCGCTCCTCCAGGTGGGAGAGGATGTTTGGTACGAGAGTGACAAGGTCTGGTACGTGCACAAAGAAGGCTTTACGTTAGGTAATTACCATTCAGGTCTCCAGCAGCCGATAACTGTTATTATTAATAATAATAATAATACTATTAATCCTTGCATTTTTTGATAGCGTCTTATCACGTCATTGAGACGTCTCAAAGCGCTTTGTAGAATATACTGTCAGGTGGAGTGACTGTGTATTAAGGAAACTTGCCTAACATTTTGTCCTGGCCGGGAATCGAACTTGCGAGGGGAGCGCTCTAACCACTACACCACAGGGCTCCACAGTCCCGTAGGGTAGTGGATGTAAGGATTAGTTTTATTTTATTTGTGCGTTAGTGTTTGCAAGTTGAATTTGACGTACCCCCCCTCCTGCCGTCTCCCCCTCAGCCACGGAGCTAAAGCCAGACGTGGGGACCCCCGAGCTCCCTGTGGGTCAAGTTCGGGTCCGTGTAGAGAGCAACGGCACGATCATAGACACAGATCAGGAACACGTGCACAGAGTGAGTAACTCACACTCCCCAACCTGACCTCGTGTGTATCTTTGATTCAGAACTCCGACACTCACATACTCGCACACCCTAAACTCTGTACCGCCGCTCCCCCATAGCACCCCACCCCCCCCACCCTGCCATCACTCCAGTCCTCACCAGGCTCCACTGGCCCCCACACCCCACCCCCCCATCACTCCAGTCCTCGCCAGGCTCCACTGCCCCCCCACCTCCCGCCACAGAATAGATTGACTTCAAGCTCCTCACACTCGTCTACAAATCCCTTCATGCCCTGGCACCTCCCTACCTCTTCGACCTGCTCGTACCCCTCACCTGCTACCCGCTGCCTCCGCTCGACTGGCTCCGGGCTCCTGCTTGCCCCTCGTCCCCTCCGCTCCGCCATCAGTGGCCGCAGTTTTAGCCGCTGCGCCCTGAAGCTTCGGAACTCTCTCCCCCAATCCCACTGCCTCGCCCCTTCCTTCCCTCCTTTTAGCTCATGACTGAAGACCTCCCTCTTTGACCGTGCATTGTTAAGCGGTGTAAATGCAAGTTGTTGTTGTTGTTGTTTCACGTGCTTCCCTGCTGTGCGGCTCAGACAAACCCCCTGAAGCTGGACTACGCCGAGGATCTCTCTCAGCTGCTCAGCCTGAACGAGTGCAGTGTCCTCCATGTCCTGCACCAACGCTATAGCTCCCAGCTCGCCCACACCAAGGCCGGAGGTCAACTGATCATCACCAACCCAGCCCGGCCGGTCACTGGCTACTCAGCCAAGGTAACGCAAGTCAGAGAGTGTGTCACGTGTCCAGAGACAGCATGACATGCATGTTGGGGAGAGAGTGATGGGCGTTGGCTTGGGAGGGGCGGGGTGGGGGAAAGAGAGGGTGAGATGAAGTGGACCAAAGGAATGTCTCAGAGCAGTTAACAGTGGTGGAGCACATCACCAAGCCAGGGGAGGCAGGAGGTGACCATAAGCGCAGTCGAAGAGGAAGGTCTTCAGTTCTGATCTGAAAGAGGGGGTGAGGCAGAGGGATCAGGGGAGAGAGTTCCAAAGCTTTGTGGAGCAGTGACATTTCTATCCTCCATTGTCTCTCTTTCTCTCTCTCTCTGTGACCAGATCTTCAGGGGGAAGAAGGAGAACATGCCTCCTCACGTGTTTGGCATGGCTCAGAGGGCGTATTGGAACATGCTAATGCACCGTAAGGACCAGACCATCGTGCCGCTGGGTCAGAGCGGAGCGGGCAAGACCACCAGCTGCCAGCAGGTCCTGGAGTATCTAGTGGAGGTGGCGGGCAGTGTGGGCTCCGCAGTCACAGGTGAACTGAGCCTTAACAACAGAGGAACATAAGAGTTGCTGGGCCACAGAAGACCAAGGTCCATCCAGTTTGCCTTCCACCATCCTGGCCATCGCTTACACATGTCATGTCCCAAACTATACATTGTATCCCACAATATTCTGTAAAGTGTAGTGACTGTGTATTTTGTGAGCCAAACACCGACAGCCAATTGCGCATAGTGACGTCTCACAAACAGTCGTGGATTGAGTGACCGATTGTGGGACGGCTGTGAAGTGAACTGTCCCAAACTCTTTTTGTTTTGTCTCAGTGGAGAAGATACAGGCTGTGTTCACCATTCTCAAGGCCTTTGGCTCGGTTCCCACCACCAACAACAGCAGCACCACTCGCTTCTCAATGGTGGCCTCGCTGGACTTCAACCAGGCCGGCCGTGTGTCCTCTGCCCAACTCCAGGTAAGCCACAGAGCAGACAGACATAGCACCCTCAAGAACGTCTCACAGCGCTTCACCCAGCCTCTGTCCACTGTAGTGACTGTGGGGTTTTGTCAGGGGAAAAGCCATTTTGGGCAGCCAATTGCACACAGCAGCGTCCCACAAACAGTTGTGGATTGAGTGACCGCATTTTTTCTCTTTGGAGGGATTATTACCCCCACCCCCCCCGGGAAAGTGATCCACCAATCGAATAACAACCAGGTTCCCACTTACCGCTGGTAAACAGAGGCGTGTGTGTGTGTGTGTGTGCGTGTGGAATAAGGAAACTTGCTTAAGGTTTTGCCCCGCCTGGGAATCGAACCCGGGTCCTCTTGCTTGCGGGGCGAGCGTCCTACCCACCGCACTACAGGACTGCTTTGTCTTTCAGACCATGTTACTGGAACGCGTTCGTGTCGCTCAGCATCCAGAAGGCGAGGGCACATTTGACATCTTCTCCCAGATGTTGGCAGGATTAGACCTTTCATTAAGGTACGACAACAACAACAACAACAACTCACATTTATATAACGCCCTCACGTAAGATCCCAGGCCGGGATTTGAACCCACAACCTTCTGACTCGGAGGCGGGATTGCTTCCACTGAGCCAGGCTGATCCCTAAATAGCGATCGGGGTGTAGTTCTACAGGAACAAGGGCTTAGCCTAACGTCTGAGGACGTGTGTGTCCTCTGAGTATCGATGCTGAATGGCTGGGGATATGCTTACCCTTTGGGGACAATTCCTCGAATACCTCGTCTCAAACGTAAAGCTTCTGATTTTTCTTCCGAGCAGTTGGAGTCAGTAAATTGACGATAATCCTCGCATTTGATACAGCGCCTTATCACGTCTCTAAAGCGCTCCACAGAATAATTGCCCGTCGCTTTTCGCCCTAGAAACACACAGACTTTACAGTGTATATCCCGTGAAGCGCTTTGAGACGCCTCGAAGCGCTGATAAGGCGCTGTATCAAAGGCGAGGATTATTATTACGGGAATCGGAGACCAAACACAGAGGGTCTGTGGTGGTTTTCTGAGAGTCACTCGCTGACTGTGACACGTTTCTGCTCTGTGCTTTGAACAGGACTGAGCTGCATCTCCACCAGTTGGCGCAGACCCACATGTTCGGGATTCTACCGGCCACAAAGGTAAGGAGGATCGTATTTCTCCGGACCCTGCAGTGAAACGTCAGCCCAGGGCTCCCGGAGGAGACGTCCCAAAGAGGGAACTTCATGAGAGGTTAGGAACGTAAAGAATTTGCTGTGAAGCACCTGACTCTCGGGCCTTGAGTGTTCTGCGTGTGTCTCTCTCTGTCTCAGGTGGAGGAGAAGCAGAGGGCTTCGCTGGGGTTCAGCAGGGTCCAGGCAGCGCTGGAGACACTGGGAGTCACGGCAGATGAGCAAAGGGCCATTTGGCACGTGCTGGCATCCATTTACCATCTGGGAGCAGCCGGTGTTTGCAAAGGTAACAGAGGCTGTGGTCTGGGAAGCCCCAGGTCGGGGTCTCTGAGCTCACGCAGTGAGCCTCACTCCCCTTCAAACCTCACTCCCCGTCTGTGCCCTGTTCAGGTGGATGTTAAAGATCCCACCGCGCTCTTGGGAAAAGAGAAGGGAGTTTCTTTCTCTCTCTCTCTCTCTCTCTCTCGCTTTCTCTCGTTCCCGGTGTCCTGGCCCACAATCCCTGCCCACACCCCCACCCCCAGATAATATTGCTTTACGGTCTGCATTGAGGAGAGACAGATTGAGAGCGTATTCTATGTGCGATGCCCGGCTGATCCAGATTAACGTCTCAGTTGGAATGTTTGCACACACTTTTCCTGAGCCAAGATAGTCGTAAAGGCTTTGAATGTGTGGCTTCCTCTCAACCAGCCAGCTCGGAAATAATGGTGACCATCCGTGGAGTCCTGTAGCTCGGTAGTTAGAGCGCTCGCCTCGCAAGCGAAAGGACCCGGGTTCGATTCCCGGGTCAGGGTGAAACGTTGGGCAAGTTTCCTTACTCCACACACACACCTCTGTTTACCCAGCGATACGTAGGTTGTTAGCAATTTGGCGGATTGCTTTTTCGGGGGGTAATAATCCCTCCGAAAAAAAATATAATAATTTGGTCATTCAATCCACGGCTGTTTGTGGGGACGCTGCTGTGCGCATTTGGCTGCCGCGTTTCGCCCACAAAATATACAGTCAATTAATTCACTTTACAGAATATGCTGCGAAGCGCTTTGAGACGTCTCGAAGACATGATAAGGCGCTGTATCAAATGCGAGGATCATTATTATTGTTATATATTCCTTCCACCACTTCTCTCTGTTGGTTCTCTCCACCCAAGCCTCGTATCATGAGGCAAAAGAGCAATGTACTTTGGCAGCTGCAGGATTTCGGAGCCTGCTGGTTTGCATTAAACACTGATTAGAATGCAGACACTAACTAAAAACCCTCCATCTCAGATGCTGTGGTTTCTCAAACTCCCAATTAATCACCAGCATTTTCAGTCCTGTTAACCCGAGGCGGCATCAGACTGGCTCAATCAGTCACCCGTCACTGGGGGCAAGTGGACATTCCGCTCAGCTCCTGATATCCTTGCAAGCTAAAGCCCTAACGGGAGGGTGGTCCCAGCTGGACGAGTAGTGGGAAAGCTTGCCATACAGCGCTCTCAATGGCTAAGCTGTGCGATTTTAGCTGGTTAGACTCCAGCAGTCGCCCCAACTCACACTCTGGTCTCCCCTCCACACCCACCACCAAGCCTTGGATCTCGCCAACCTGCGCCTAATACTTTGTGGAATTAACTAAGCAGGATGTGTCCCTCCAGGGAGAGAGAGAGAGAGAGAGAGAGCGCATTCCATTCCAAGAATCTATCCCTGGGATTTCTATGTGTTGGCGGGAGGCCTGGAGTTCTCAGCTGGTGATTGGTTTTGTGATCTTATGATTGAATTATTGAGCTTGTGATTGATTTTGATCTCTCTCTCTCTCGCTCTCTCTCTCCGATCTTCACGTATCTCCCAAAATAGTGGGCAGGAAGCAGTTTATGATGTTCGAGTGGGCTCAGAAGGCGGCGAGCAACCTGGGGTACGAGCTGGAGGAACTCTCGACAGCCGTCTTCAAACACCACCTCAAGGCTCTGATCCAGCAAGTCACGGCCGGGGCGACGAGGCTGAGGGCGGAGGAGATGGAGGAGACCGGCACAGGTAACCTCGCCGAGGGTTCCTCATCCACACCCATCTTGTTGTGGGATACACACAGTCACTCCACTTTACAGTACGCCCTGTGAAGCGCTTTGAGATGCCTCGACGATGTGATGAGGTGCCGTATTAAATGCAAGGATTATTATTATTATAGAGGATACGAACAACGCCTAGCTAGTCTCACTGTCAAATAAAATAAATTGCTCTCATTGCCAGTTTGGGAGAAGTTCAGTCTCAGTCTCCACCAATAATTATATATAAATAGCTCGTTCAACTGTTGAACAAAAACAAGATAATCAAGCGCAAAGGTAATTATCTCAAATGACACGACAATTTAATATTCCGAACCACTGGGTTTCTCTGCTCGTGCCTTTGAAACAGAAAGGAGACAACAGCAACTTGCATTTATGTAGCGTCCCTCACACGGGGTAGGCTCTAATTGCGCTTGAGAAGGTTGAGGGCTGATCAGGTTGAGGTGTTTAAAATGGTAAAGGGATTCGGTACAGTGGTAGCTGCAGAGAAACTATTTCCTCTGGTGGGTGGGGGAATCCAGAACAAGGGGGGGCATCATCTTAAAATTAGAGCCAGGCCAATTAGGAGTGAAATCAGGAGGGAGTTTTTCACACACACACACACACACACACAAAGGCTGGTGGAAATCTGGAACTCTCTCCCCGCACCCCCAAAAGGCTGTGGATTATGGCTGGATCCATTCACATTTTCAACGCTGAGGTGGATAAATGTTTGTTAGGTTCGGGGATCGAGGGATATGGGGCAAAGGTGTTGAGGTACAAATCAGCCATGATCTTATAGAATGGAGTAACAGGCTTGAGTGGCCTCCTCCTGTTCCTATATAGGAAGCTGTGAGGATTGCAGTGCACATCCCCAACCAGAAGAGGAAGCAGAGACTGCTAACAGTTACGTAGATGTACAGATGATCATCAGAAATCTCCAGAGCAGAACAAAAACCATTCTGTCCATTGAGTCCGTACTGGCTCACACGCGTCCCTCCAATCTCACCGCCCAAACTGATCCCCACAAGGAGGCCTGTAGCTCAGTGGTTAGAGCGCTCGCTTGGCTAGTGAGAGGACCTGGGTTCGATTCCCGGGCATAGGGCAAGTTTTCTCACTCCACAAACACGCCTCTGTTTACCCTGCAGTAAGTAGGAACCCAGTCGAATGGTGGATCGCTTTCCGGGGTTAATAATCCCTCCAAAAAAAAAGCACTTTGAGATGTCTCGAAGATGTGATAAGGCGCTACATCATGGATCATTATTATTGTTATATTAAGGATGATTATTATTGTGTAACCCTCGGCTTTCTGCCTGGTCCAGGCCTGCGACTGACCGGTTCGGAGTGTGTAGAAGGGATGGCAGCCGGACTCTATGAGGAACTCTTTGCTGCTATCGTCTCGCTCATCAACAGGTAAATGGTTTTCGTGTCCGCGTTTCACACCCCATTCACCGCCAGATAACTGGCCCGCCAATTTGGGGCCTTTTAGCCCCGTGGCGTGGTGGTTAGAGCGAGAGGACCTGGGTTCGATTCCCGGACAGGGCGAAACCTTGAGCAAGTTTCCTCACTCCACACGGAACCTGGAATGTTAGTGATTGTCTGACAAGTCAGCAGACAAGTGGACAGGGTTCACTCCATGTAAAATAGAAATAATAACCCTTGCATTTGATGCAGCGTCTTATCAGGTCGTCGAGGCGTCTCAATTGACTGACAACTGGGTTCCTACTCGCTGCTAGGCAAACGGAGGGTTGCGCGGGGAGTCAGGAAACTTGCCTAAGGTTTCTCCACGAACCGCCCGGGAATCGAACCCGGGTCCTCTCGGTCGCGAGGTGAGGGCGGTCACCACCGAGCTACAAGAACGGCACATTTAAAAGGAGCCGGGACTCTGCTGGTAAGAGGAGGAGTCCGGATGAATGGAACGACGCTGATTTCTGTCTTGATGGTCCCTCAGGTCAGTGTCCTCCACCCAGGTGTCGCTGACGTCAATTATGGTGGTGGACACACCCGGCTTCCACAACCCGCGACATCAGAATACGGAACGAGCGGCGACGTTTGAGGAGCTTTGCCACAATTACGTGCACGAGAGGTTACAGCTGCTCTTCCACGAGAGGACTTTCGGCTCGGAGCTGGAACGATACAAAGAGGTAACATCAAACCCCGGGAAGGGGTTAGACAAGCCGCGCACAATCGGTTTGGCCCACAAAATGCACGGTCACTCCCACTTCACAGCGTACCCTGTGAAGCGCTTTGAGACGTGATGAGGCGCTACATCAAATGCAAGGCTTACTTATTGCTGTTATAATTTATGACCCCCCGCGTTATTTGCGTCGCTTTTTTAATCGAGCAGCGACTTGGTCACATTTACTGCTTGATCTTTCCGACACAGGAGAAGATCGTGGTGAGCTTTGACCCTCCAGAGACCTCTCCAGCGTCCACGGTGTCCGTCATAGATCAAACCTCATCTCAGGTAAGACACGCAGGAGACGGATCGGAATCACTGAGGGGTTTCACGAAGAGGGTTTGGAATCGAGAAGCCCTCTAAACCCCGGCCCCCCCCCCCTCCACTGTCACTCTCTGCTCTACAACAACAGCAACTGCTTACATTTATATATAACAACAGAGCTTGACAGTAGCGCAAAATACTGCAGGTGCTGGAAATCTGAAAGAAAGGCAGAAGTCGTTGGGAACATTCAGCAAGTGAGGCAGCATCTATGGAGAGATCTATGGATGCTGCCTGACCCGCTGAGTGTTCCCAGAGACTTATGTTTTTGTTAACCTTAGCGGAGCCTTATGCCGAGCTGTGGAGAGGGAGGGGAGGGAGGGGGGGGTGGAGGGAGGAGGTGACCGTAAACACGATCGAAGAGGAAAAGGTCTTCAGTCGTGATCTAATAGAGGGGACGGAGGGGGAGAGTGGAGGCAGTGGGTGGTGGGTTGGGGTAAAAGCAGATCGGTGAGGTAGGGAGGGAGGGATATGAAGGGATTTGTAGACGAGTGAGAGGACCTTGACATCGATCCGTTCGGTGATAGGGAGCCGGTGGAGCCAGGCGAGGCCTGAAGTTGACGGGGGAAACAGAGGCAGAACAAATGTATAGCACTGAAAGGGTTTAAGCCTTTCAGGGTTAGAACTTTACCTGACAGTTGGATTCTCCCTGCCTCTCCCTTTTCCCCCCTCTCCTCTCATGCCTGGCGACACAAGGTTACATGAAGCATTCAGAATGCAATCAGACAGCCTCCTGCAGGGCTAACAGACATCTCCACTGCCTAACGTTTCCTGAATGGAGACCTGAATAGCGGGCGAGCTGACTGCACAGTGTACAGATGGATTTGCCTGCGTGACACACAGTTACTACACTTTGCTTCGCAGCAACGATCCCATGAAGCGCTTTGAGGCGTCTCTGGGATGTGGTAGGGAATTGAGTCAGATGCAAGAATTATTATATTATTGATATCAGAATAGTAAGGCGGGGGAGAAGGGTGGGGGGGGGGGCGGAAGCAACAACAACTTGCATTTACACAACTTGGGGAGCGCTTAACAGTGGCGGAGTCTGACTCCGAGCCGGGGGAGGAAGGAGGAGGTGATCGTAAGCACGGTCGAAGAGGAAGGTGATCCAAAAGAGGGGAAGGAGGGCGCGAGGCAGAGGGATCGGGGGAGAGAGTTCCAAAGCTTCGGGGCGTAAGCAGGGGGGAGGGTGAGGGGGATTTGGGGGTTGCTGGTTAGGACGTACCGGGGTGGGGGGGGTGTTGGGGGTGAAGGAGGTGCAATGAGGGAGATGTTTTCCTCGCTGGTCATTGTGTAACTGTGGCTCGGAGCGGGGGCTTTGACAGTCGCTGTGTGGCTCTCAAGCAAACGGAATTGATCACCAGTGGGACTCATGGCTACATGGATGGGAGACTTTAAGCTGCTTTAATCTCTTCGCTGTCTAAATGTATATACTCTGTATATAATCTACACGCCCATCGTGTTCTCCAGCCTGTGTTAGCTTTCTTTGCTGGTTATGATAAGAGTCACATTTTATAATACATTGTTTTAACCGTCTCTTCCGCTCCCTCGCTCCCTCCCTCCCTCGATCTCCTTCCAATGTGAAAAAGGCTCTGTGTAAATGTTACGTTGCTGGAAGGGAAACATAAAAATATTGCTTATGGGGCATGCAGACCTTTCTCAAATAGCTCTCTCTCTCTCTCCTCCCTCCCTCCCCATCTTCCCCCTCGCACTCTCTCCCTCCCCCTCCCTCCCTCCTTCTCTCTCTCTTTGTGTCTCCGTCCCTCCCTCCCTGTTTGATGTGTAAGCCCTGGAGCACGCTCAAAGCTGACCTCGCCAATGCAATGCCAGCCCGAATAAATTGGAATTTAATCCGTCCCAAAATCCTTGATTTGAAGTTCTTTTACGCTTGAAATCGGTCGCTAATCGATTATCCATGTCGCAGAGTAAAACCCACGCCAGCTCTCAAGGTTGTGCTGAGAAGGGGAGTCACTAACTGAAATTCTCCGACAACCGCAGGAAAGGCTTATTACGTTATTATATTATAAGGCACTCATTCACACCATTTTTGGTTTTTATTTGGTCAGCCATTTATGGTCTGACACACACGGAAACCCGTCACCGTGACCGGCCGGGTGTCTGACTCACACGGAAACCCGTCACCGTGACCGGCCGGTGTCTGACACACACGGAAACCCGTCACCGTGACCGGCCGGTGTCTGACACACACGGAAACCCGTCACCGTGACCGGCCGGGTGTCTGACACACACACGGAAACCCGTCACCGTGACCGGCCGGGTGTCTGACACACAGGGAAACCCGTCACCGTGACCAGCCGGGTGTCTGACACACACGGAAACCCGTCACCGTGACCGGCCGGGTGTCTGACACACACGGAAACCCGTCACCGTGACCAGCCGGGTGTCTGACACACACGGAAACCCGTCACCGTGACCGGCCGGGTGTCTGACACACACACGGAAACCCGTCACCGTGACCGGCCGGGTGTCTGACACACACACGGAAACCCGTCACCGTGACCGGCCGGTGTCTGACACACACACGGAAACCCGTCACCGTGACCGGCCGGGTGTCTGACACACACGGAAACCCGTCACCGTGACCAGCCGGGTGTCTGACACACACGGAAACCCGTCACCGTGCTTAAGAGTCTCCAAATCAGACTGAGAATTCCACATATGTACGCCACCAATACAAAGGAATTTCCCTGTGTCAGGGATGGAGTGTGTACTTTCTCTCTCTTGTTGACGAACCCTTTAATAGACAATTGACTGGGAAGCAATGAAAGACGAGGAACAGGTTTTGGGAGAGCAGAGGACTCCGGCAGGAGAATGGAGGGAGAGATTGTATAGGTACCAACCAAAGCGTAGTGACTGTGCATTGTGTAGGCGAACGCGGCAGCTAAACTGAATACAACCAACAGGAGAAGGAGGGATGTGATCTGACCTTAACGCCCTTTGTGCTCTTGTCTGTCAGTTCACCATCCAGCCCCCGGGCCAGGCCGAGGAGCCCAGAGGCCTGCTATGGATCTTGGATGAAGAGGTGCTGGTTCAGGGATCTACAGATGACAGAGTTCTGGATAGGCTCTGCTCCTATTTTGAGTCGAAGGGACTTGACGGAGAAGGTAATGGCGGGAAAGAGCTGGTCTGATTAGCAAGAGAGGTCTCAAAAGTAAGCGGGCGCGTGAGAAAGAAAATAATACAAACCCAACATTCGATACAGCGCCTTATCACATCGTCGAGACATCTCAAAGCGCTTCACAGGATACGCTGTGAAGTGCGGTGACTGTATTTTGTGGGGAAAGCAAATATTACAATATTAAATTTTACAGTATTACTGTTCGATAAAGCTTCTATGGGTGACCGGTTAGAAACAACATTTATTAATAATAATAATTATTATTATTATTGCATTTGAGATCGCACCTTATCATGTCATCTGTAACTTGTCTTCCTCAAGGGAACGGTTCCTATTCATGTCTCTGCTGGTATTATAATAAAAAGATGTTTGTTAGGTCAGGGGATCGAGGGATATGGGGCAAAGGCGGTTAATTGGCGTTGAGGTCCAGATCTAATAGAATGGCGGAACAGGCTCGAAGGGCTGAATGGCCTCCTCCTGTTCCCATGTTCCCAAAGCGCTTCGCGGGATGCAGTGTGAAGTGTAGCGACTGTGTGTTTGGTGACTGAACTCGTGCTCCCTGTGACTGTAGAGAAGCAGTGCCTGCGGAGGTGTGAGCAGCCTCTGCAGTTGGTGATCGGCCACCGGCTGGGCGCCGAGCCGGTGAGGTACGATCTGACCGGGTGGATCCACAAAGCCAAGCGGAACCCGTCAGTACAGAACGCCAGCCAGATCCTGCAGGAATCCAAACTGTAAGCCGCGCAGAACCGAGGACAATATCTCCCCAACCGGGTAGAAAGAGCTGGCCATTGATATCGCTGTCCGGCGAGCTTTCCCGCTGCTAGTCCAGCACCAACCCTAATCGCCCGAATATTAACCGGCCTTGAATTTGGTACAGGTTAAGAACATAAGAACTTGCCGGCGAAAGGGAACCGAGGTCCATCCAGTTCGCCTTCCACCGTCCTGCCAGTCACTTGACATGTCGTGTCCCAAACTATCCCCTGTCTCCCCGAGATATTATTCCCTAATAGAAATCTTATCTCGTTTGCTTTTGAAAGAATCGACACTTTCTGCTTCCACCGTCAATCTGTCTGTCTGTCTGTCTGTCTGACCTGGGAGGACATCCCATCGGGCTGCGCAGGACCCAGTGGGGAGTGTAGTGACCGTGTGTTTTGCGGCTGAGCGTGGTGACTTTGTGGAACAAGTGAACCTTGCGTAACCTTTGCTTCACCGTCCTGTCAGGGAGATAGTGAAGAAGCTCTTCTTGTGTCGGAGCAAAGTGCCTCTGATCTGCCACTCGGTGGCTGGGATGGAAGGGGCGTCTCAGCAGGCGTCTCACCGGGTGGCCTGCGTACGGAAAACCTTCAGCACCAGCTTCGCGGCTCTCAGACTCAAATCAACCTGCGGCCTCATCAAACTGCAGCTGGTGAGAATGTGTGCAGTGCCGTCAGCCTGGCTCAGTGGGTAGCGCTCTCTCTCTCTCTCTATCTCTCTCTATCTCTCGCCTCCGAGTCAGGAGGTTGTGGGGTTCAGCCCCCCAGGTCGGGACTTCGAATCACATAGTCTAGCCAGTGTGGGCCAACCTTTTGGCTGCCGAGCACCTGATGTTATTTTTTTTATGGTTGTAATTCTATTTGAGAAGGGTCTGTAAGCCGCGTCCGCAATATTTCTGTGTTTCCCTTCCAGGAAACATTTTTTTTTTTTTTGTTTGTTTAAAACGTGGTCACTCGATCCGCGTCTGTTTTGCGGGACGCTGCCGTGCGCAATTGGCCGCTGCGTGTCCGTTCTGCGGAGCGCTTTGAGGCGTCTCGACGGTAAGGCGTGACACATCGCGGTATCGGACCCGAGGATCATTATTATTAAAATTACCGGAGTAAGAGGAGACGATTCATTGAGATTCAACGCAGAGAGAAGGATGAGCGAGAGGGTTGACAGATTCGGGGGGTGGTGGGTGGTGGGGGCGGTGATCGAGGAGACGGGTCAGAGAGACAACTGGTGAGAGCAGAGAACAACAGCGCCGGGGAGAGAGAAAAGGCGTTCAAGGTTAAAGAAAAGCAGGTGCTTCACCAATCACACTCCAGGCATTGCTGGTTCTGCGGGAGACAGTTGTTCGAGCCTCGCGTCTGGTGAAGAATGAAGGGTTTCCAGGCGGCGCTAACAAAGCAGACGTCAGCATTCTATCCGAAATAGCATCCTCGCCTTGGAGCAGGTCACATTATTGTGGAGCGAGCCGGCCCTCTCTGTGTCAACCACCCGAACCCATCATTAAATTGCCGCCTTGTCGTCGCTTCCTTCCCGCGGTGCTCCAGATGTCAAAAACCCTCATTTGCATTCTATAACCTGTAACTTTGCTCGAGAGGTGAGCGGGAGCTTTGCCGGAAGAGGTTGAGGAGCTGATTTGTTTTTTTGAGGGGGGTGGGGGGGGAAAGAGGGGAAAGAGAGATTATGGAAGGGGGGATATGAACATTCACATATATCTCCCCTCCCACCCACCCCACCTCCCCCCCACCCAACACCGCAACTGGCAAGCGCGTTGTGATGTCCGTCAGTTTTTTAAAAAATAGTGATCGGGCCGTACCAAACGGCAATTACCGCTATAATAACTCGCCTCCCGTTAAACCCTAGGACGCACTCATGAATGTGATCAAACGATCCGAGATGCACTTTATCCACTGCCTGGTGCCCAGTTTGACCGGCGATGGGTCGGGAGACAGGAAGAGCCCCTGCGCTCCGAGGGCGAGCGACGGAGAACGACCGCCAGCCTCGTTTGAGGTCCCGGTGCTCAGAACTCAACTGCGGGGATCACAGCTGCTGGACGCACTTCGCCTCTACCGACTGGGTACAGACCCCTGTAGCGCAGAGGTCGGGGCACTTGCCTCGCAAGCGACGAGAGGCGTCTCAAGGACGGGATCAGGCGCTGTATCAAATTCAAGCAATATTATTATTATTTTATTATTGTTGTTATTATCATCATCAGCGTTTTACAGTTTTACCGCAGAAAACCAGCCCAAGGTTTCGCCCCGGCCCGGGAGTCGAACCCGGGTCCTGCGGCTCGCGAGGCGAGAGCTCTGACCTGCTGCGCTGAAAATAAAATCTTAAGAGCCAACTGGAATCTCTGCCCAGTTGAGGAAGGAGGACAGGACCGAAAAAAGATGGGGATGTGAACAGCAAGGACTAGGATACAGGGCGGCCCCTGCTGTAACCCGGTGCTCTGGGTTTAATATCTTGGACACTGTGTTCAAAGCGATGGTTGATAAATTGACTCTCTCTCTTGCTCTCTCTCTCTCTCCCTCTCTCTCTCTCTCTCTCGTTGCCGCTCTCAGGGTTTCCCGATCACATGAGCTTCAGTGATTTCCGTCGGCGTTTCCAGGTGCTGAGCCCGGAGATCGTGAAGAAGTACAGCTCCGTGTTCGTTCCAATAGAGGAAAGAAAGGTGAGTGAGATCACCCGTGTCTGCTGGTCCTGGTGGGAGCAGGAGGTGGGGTGTGGGGGGCGGTGGGAGGGGAGAGGGGAGAGGAAATTTCCTGTAGCTCAATGGTTAGAGCTCTCGCCTCGCAAGCGAGAGGATCGGGGTTCGACTCTCGGGCCGGGCAAAACCTTAGACAAGTTTTCTCACTCCACACGTCTCTGTTTACCAGCAGTGAGGAGGAACCCGCTTGTTAGTCAATTGGTGGATCGCTTTTCCGGTGGTAATAATCCCTTCAAAACAAATAAACAAATAAATAAATGTGGTCACTCAACCCACGGCTGTTTGTGGGGACGCTGCTGTGCGCAATTGGCTGCCACGTTTCGCTCACATAATACAGTCACTACACTTTGCAGTATATAGTGTGAAGCGCTGCAGTTACCTGGGCGATGGCTGATGAAGGTTTGTTGTTTAGGCCACGGAGGAACTTCTGTTGCTGCTGGATTTGGAGAAACATAGCGTGGCCCTGGGTCAGAGCCAGGTAGGTCAGCGGGCAGCCAGAGTCAGTGCCCAACAGTGGGCAACCACTGGGTCCGAAACCACACACACACACCACACACACACATGCGCACACACACCACACAAGCACATGCGCACACACACACCACACATACGACTCGGACACACACACAGATACTGCATGTAGAGAAGGAGACGTGCACTGATACACAGATACACATGTGGAGACAGACAAACACCGACACAGCCACACACGCAGTTGGTGTGCGGACGGGACAGGGAGACAAGTAGATGCTCGACAAGTGGACAGACAGACAGACAGACAGACAGACAGACACATGGATGGAAAAATTGTGTCCCGGATAGAAACAGGGACACAGTTTATCCAGTAAAAGCTGTGCCATGACAGTGGAAGATGATTTCTGGATGCGGGGAGCGAGACGGGCAACTGAAGGACTAAAGGCCTCGCTGTGCCCTGTCTCACCTTCAGGTTTTCCTGAAGGCCGGTGTGCTGAGCCGCCTGGACCGGCAGCGAGACCGGCTGGTGAGCGGCAGGGTGACCCTCCTGCAAGCCATCGGTCACGGTTACCTGGGGCGGCAACGGTTCAAAGCCATGAAGGTAATAAGGAAGCTGGTGGTGGTGTGGGTGAGGGGTGGGGGTTGAGGGGTGTTTGGGGGGTGGGAGGTGTGGGTGGTGTCAGTGTCCGTGGGCTTTATTTAGGGCTGGTTTGTGTTGTATTATGCGCTCTATGTGTTGTGTTGTATTGTCCCTTATTTAAACGCTCTGAGATGTTACCCTGCGTGAAGGGCACTATGTCGGTGGAGGGAGGAGGGAGGGAAGAGGTCGGAGAGGTAGGGAGGTGCCAGGGACAGGTTGGGGTGGGGGTTGGGTTAGGAGCTGGTGGGTGCTGGGTGATGACCGTGTCTCTTGACCACGCTGCAGATCCAGGGTTTAGCTCTTCGCTGTATACAGAAGAACTTGAGGAGGTACACAGCGGTTCGACCCTGGGCCTGGTGGCAGCTGTTGGCCTGTGTCCGCCCCATGCTCAGCATTAACATGGCCGACGAGAAACTCCGGGTCAAAGAGGTGAGCGTGGACCTTTGTATTTATACTGGGGGTGAGGGAGAGCAAGGCCAGGCCTCAGTTAGAGCTTTTACTTCAGGATCTGTCTCGATACCATGTGTGTGTCTCTTGCTCTCTCGTTGTCTCCCTTGCTCTCTCTCTTGCTCTGTTTGTGTCTCAATACTTGTGTGTGTGTGTGTGTGTCTTTTTTTCTTTCTCTATCTCAATTTCTGTTTCAATGCCTCTGTCTCTCTCTGTGTGTCTCTTTCTCTGACTCTCTGTCTCTCTCTCTGTGTGACTCTCTCTGTCTGTCTCTCTCTCGCTATGTCTCTCTCTCTCTGTCTCTCTGACCTCTCGATTGTTCTCTTTCCCAAATAAACTGTCCAGCTCCCTCTTGAATGCGCTGACAGTATCTCCCTGTGTCGCCCGCTCCAAGGACCCACCGCTGTGGGTGTGAACCATTAAACCCGCTCTCTCCTTCCCGGGAGACCTCTGAGACAGACGGACGCTGGCGTGCCCGGGTTGAATGTCTTGGCTTTGCTGTGCGTGTGCCTGTAGTGATGTCGTGTTGCTCTCTGTGTGTAGGAAGAGGTTATTGCATTGCACAAGAGACTGAAGAAATCAGAGGGCGAGCGGAATGAGATCAGGTGGAACACTGACCTGCTGGAGGGCAAGGTAGGCTTTCTACTGAGACATCGTTGTCCATCCTTCCTCCTCCCCATCTCTGTCACTCGCTCTCCTCCCTGTCTCTCTCTTTCAACCCCGTCTCTCTCTCCCTCCCGTCCGTCTCTCCCTCCGCCCAGCAACAAATCACAAACAGTCACGAAGTGACTGGTTTCAGAGCCTTGGGATGTCCTCCCGACATGAAAGGTGTGCTGTACAAATTTTATCTGGAGGTGGTGGGGTGGGGGGGGTCCACCAGAACAGGGCACAGAACGGGAGGGAGTGGGTGAGGTTTAACATCTCATCCGAAAGACTGCGTCTCCGACAATGGAGTGCTCCCCCCAGCGCTGTGCTGGAGCGTCAGACTGGACTATCAGCGTTCAAAACCCCCAGGTGGGGGCTTGAACCCACGACTTTCTGACCAGAGGCCAGAGTGGTAGCGACTGAGCCAGGCTGGTACACAAAGCTCCATAGGTCGAGGAGTAATTTTAACGAGAGAACATTAGCCAAAGCTCTGACATGTTGGGTGGTCCTAACTGGACAAGCAGCGGGAAAGCTAAAGCAAGGATTATTATTATTATTATTGTTGTTGTATATTTTTTTTTCACCTGTTGGCAGTACAGTGGAAGCTTTGGGTCCGATCCTCTCTTGTCTGTGAACACATGCATTTCACGTACTCCCAGTCTCTCATCCCACAGCTGACTGCTCACGCCAGCAAAATACAGAGAGCAAATGTCTCATCTGATTCCCATCACTTTGCTGGGCCCAGGGCTGGTCTCTGCAGCCTGTAGCTTATTGCTAACGAAACCGATTACTATCACAAGGTAGTAATGGAATCAGCCCGAGGTGTGAGATACAAGGCTTTAAACAGGGTCAATATCAGTGTGGGACGTATGAATGATTTCGAAGTCAAGGCTTGATCTTGCCAACGCCGTGCTTCCCGGACTCCCCAGCGCCTCCCTAGAACGTGGAGTCCTGTATCATAGAGGTTAGAGCTCTCACCTCACAAGCGAGAGGACCGGGGTTCGATTCCCAGGCGGGGCGAAGCCTTAGGCAAGTTTCCTCACTCCACGCACCCCTGTTTGTCTAGCAATAAGCAGGAACCTGGATTTTAGTCATTTGGCGGATCGCTTTCCAGGAGGTAATAATCCCTCAAAAAAAAATGTGGTCACTCAATCCACGACTGTTTGTGGGGACGCTGCTGTGCGCAATTGGCTGCCGTGTTTCGCCCACAAAATATACAGTCGACTCACTCACCACAACACTGCAGGACTCCCGGTATGTGAGTGAACCAGAACTCAGACACGAGGCTGGGCCGATCCAAGCACAGAGAATCTGCGAAGCTTCCAAATTGGTCTCTGCCAGCACCTGAAGGTCACTCAATGACAAGCACTCTCTTCCCTCCCAATGGGGCTCTTAATTGTAAAGCTGTTGGCTTGAGGCTTCCAATATTGAGTCGCCAGGGATAGGTTTGGAGGAAGATTCTTCTGCCAACAAGTAGGTCCCCGGACTATTGGGTTAGTCCAAGAATACTGCAAAATTATTCATTTTTGTTCTTCCTTTGGGAAGAATGCCAGGAATTTCTGGCGCTCTTCCCAGCATCTCATTGTCTTCATCTCTTTGATATTCCTCCCACTCCTCCATCTCTCTCACTCTCTCTCTACAACAACTTGCGTTTGATATAGTGCCTCACCAATTCACTGAGACCTCTCAAAGCGCTTCACAGAATATATTGTAGAGTGTAGTGACTGTGTATTTTGTGGGCAAAACATGGCAGCAGCGTCCCACAAATCGTCGCGGATTGAGCGACCAAATGTTTTGTGTGTCTTTGTGGAGGGATTATTCCCCCCAGAAAGCGATCAGCCAATGGACTAACAACCATTCGACATACTCACCGCTAGGTAAATAGAGGCGTAAGTGTGGAGTAATGAAACTTGTTGAAGGTTTCGCCCTGACCACCTGGGAATCAAACCCAGGTCCTCTCGCTTGCGAGACGAGTGCTGTGACCGCTGAGCTAAAGGACTCCGCTACGAGCGTTGTGTTGCTTGTGCTTGTGTCCCCCACAGATCACAGACCTGACCGCAGAGTTGTCGGATGAGCGTTTTAAGGGAGAGGTGGCGTGCCGGGCGCTGGAGAGCGAGCGAGCCGAGAGACTGAGACTGGTTCGAGAGCTGAAGGAGATGCAGGTAAAACAGGTGCAGGACATCCCATCGCGATCACATTGTGATTAGCCTTTACAACACCGAATTCTCCACAACCCCCCAACCCGACCCCCCACCCACCACCACCCTGCTGCCTTGTTGGAGGTGCCGTCATTTTGATGAGACGTTAAACTTCGCTCCTCATCTGCGCCCTGTTCAGGTGAACGTTGAAGATCCTGGTAGGAAACCGGTTGTTAGTTCATTGCCAGATCACTTTCCAGGGGTAATAATCCCACCAAAAAATAATATTAATAGGGTCACTCAACCCACGACTGTTTGATTGCTGTGCGCAATTAGCTGCCGCGTTTCGCCCACAAAATATACAGCCAATCCACTTCACAGTATAATCTGTGAAGTGCTTTGAGGCATCTCACTCTGTATCAAATGCAAGGATTATCATTATTTTATTACGTTGCAGCAGTTTGAAGGTCTTAATCTTCCCTGTCCGGGTGAAACTTTGAACCAATAAAAAGCTTGGCTGAATCCAGTTAATAATGGAATAGTAATTTGAATAATGACGGGCTGACACACATACAATCCCTCCTTCTGTCTTTTAATTGGAGTCTAACACTTTCCCAAGTCCTTTGGGAATCATTTCTCCTACAATAACTCCCTTGTCAGAGCACACACTGGTAAACCACAACATCTGCTATCATATGCATGTTTGATGATTGCTTTAGCATCACCAGAACCTGCCCTCGAGTTGGGTTCTTTGATGAAACGGGACCCGCATGAAGAGGGCTACATAAACTCAAGTTGTTGTTGTTTTTAATGCACTGGCATTAAATGAAATGAAATTAAATTGTTAATGCTTTGTCCAATGATATTAACTACTCTGTACTAACCAGATAGTGACCCCATTGCGTTCTAGACTAAGCACGAGCAAGTGGGGAAGAGCTTGAACTCGGTTGAGAAGCAATTGGAAGAATCCCAACAACAAATAGCAATGAGAGAGATTCCCTCCGGGGTCAAAGGTAAGCAAGGATCCTTTCAGAAAAAAATATTATAATAATTTGGTCACTTGATCCACGGCTTGTGGGGACGTTGCTGTGCGCAATTGGCTGCCGTGTTTCGCCCACAAAATATACAGTCACTCCACTTGACAGTGTATCCTGTGAAGCGCTTTCAGACGTCTCGAAGACATGATAAGGCGCTGTATCAAATGCAAGCATTATTATTTTTATTATTATCTGATTAACCTGGTGATTCCCGTTTTTTCCAGAGCCGGAATGGCAGGTGCGGTATGATTGCACGCTGACGGAGATCGAGTTCCTGAGGAAACGTATCCATGAGTTCGAGGAGAGAATCAGCTCAGAGATGGCGCTCAGGAAGGAAGTGGAACAGAAGGTAAGAGGCTGGGAATATACTTGAAAAGGAAAAATGGTGCAAGGCTTGCTATGGGGTAAAGAGCGGGGGAGTGGAGACGAGTTGGGGTAAGAGCGGGAGGAGTGGAGAAGCATTTGGGTAAGAGCGGGGGGAATGGGGACTAGTTGGGGTAAGAGCGGGGGAGCGGGGACTAGTTGGGGTAAGAGCGGGGGAGCGGGGACTAGTTGGGGTAAGAGCGGGGGAGCGGGGACTAGTTGGGGGGGAGCGGGGACTAGTTGGGGTAAGAGCAGGGGGAGCGGGGACTAGTTGGGGTAAGAGCAGTGGGAGTGGGGACTAGTTGGGGTAAGAGCAACGGGAGTGGGGACTAGTTGGGGTAAGAGCAACGGGAGTGGGGACTAGTTGGTAGCTCTTTCAAAGAGCCGGCACAGGCCAAATGGGCTGAATGGCCTCCTTCTATGCTGTAAGACTTTATGATTCTGATTTCATGAAGCAGGTGGCACAACACAGCCTGGCTCCACCGTGCCCCCCAACTCCCCACCCACCCACCCACCCACCCTCCCTCTGTGCTCTCCACCAAACCACCAAAGCCAAAACAATAAGCTTCCAGGGCCCGAAATTCTTCATCCTAATTCCTTTTCGGCTTAACACCGTTGCCTTTAAATTGAACGTGCAGATTTTTTTGTGGGGGGAGAGGGGGGAACGGACTTCTAGAATGTGTACAGTCTCTTTGATCTGTTTAAAAGCCCATCGTGGGCGTCCCTCAGAAGGAGCCAGGATAGAACCCAACAGTATCTTGTGTGGAACCGCTGTATTCCTCTCTCTGCTCTTCCCTATCGAATGGCCCCGCAGTGAGTGAGGGGGTTGTTTTTTATTCTCTTCAAATGACCCTGACCTGTTCTCCCCCACCACCCCCCACCCCCCCCACCCCCCGCCTGCCCCTCTCCTCAGCTCGGGGACCTGCAGGGCGGTTACGAAAACACGAAGAGGAGCGCTCAGCAGCTGAAGAGGAAATGCAAGTGCCTGACCTCAGACCTGGAGGACGCCAGAGTGCTGATGGACAGTCAGCAGAGCCGCAATCATGAGCTGGAGAAAAAGCAACGGAAGTAGGAATAACCTCGAGCGAGTGGCTTTACAGTCTCCTAACTCAGTCGCTGTAGGAGGGAGTAAGGGCTGGAGTCACTGGCCTGGGATCCTTATTCCGTTAACTAAATTCCCGAAAGTCCGTCGTGGCTGGAAGCCATTTGCCCGTCGAGCCCGTATTTGGCTCAGTCACTCGCGCTCTCGCCTCTGTGTCAAAAGGTTGTGGGTTCAAGCCCTCATCTCGGGACTCTGAGCCATACAGAGGGGGGAGCGATGCACTGTCAGAGGTGTCATTCTTAGGATGAGACGTTAAACCTCACTCCCTGTCTGTTCCCTGTTCAGGGGGACGTTAAAAGATTCCGCGGGGCTGTTGGAAAACAGAAGGGAGTTTCTCTTTCCTGGTGCCCCCGACAACAATCTCTCAGCTGTATATGGGGAAGTTGCTGTGCGTAAACCGACAAAATACATAGTCACTACACTTAACATTAAAAGCCCACCAAGCTCTTCGAGATAATAATAATAATAATCCTTGCATTTGATATAGCGCTTTTCACGTCGGGGGGACGTCCCAAAGCGCTTCACAGAATATACTGTGAAGTGAATTTATTTGTGGGCGAACGCGGCAGCCAATTGCGCACAGCAATGTAATCTTGGCGAAGTGATAAGCCGCCCACAAAAAAATATACAGTCAATTCACTTTACGGTACATCCCGTGAAGCTCTTTGAGACGTCTCGAAGACGTGATAAGGCGCTGTATCAAATGCCAGGATTATTATCATTAATAATAATCTCAACAGCCTGCTCTCCTTCCTCCTGAAACGTGTCTGAATGTGCAAAGTTCAGGTGTCTGACCGGAGGGGAAGATGTGTGTGTGGTTTTTTTTTAGACGTCCAAGTTCCTGGCTATTTTCAGCATTACCCAGAAGGAGTAACACGCCGTGACTCCCAACAGCTCTTCCCTGTGGTCAGAGTGTTTTGCCTTTGCCTTTGCATTCCACTGAGCGCAGAGCTCAGCAAATCAACCCCCGCGGCAGCACAGAGCTGAGACGTGACGTCCTCCAGACAGCCTCGTTAAACAGATAGACGACCTGAATATTTCCCGGACGGACGGAGAACTATTTCACGCAGTGATGCCAGGAAACAAGTGCGTCACATCCACAGAAATGGGTGCTCAGTTATTCCAATAGTAATAACCATTGCATTCGTATAGCAGCTGCTATAACGCTGAAATTCTCAAAGTGTAGTGACTGTGTATTTTGTGGGCGGACGCGGCAGACGATCGGCGCACTGCGACCTCCACGCAAACAGCCGTGAGGTGAATGAGCGTTAGGGCACAGAAACCTCCTCATCTAATGCGAGAGGCATTTGAGGGCGCAATTGGGTTTTATTGGAAAACCAAAATTGAGTCTGGGGTCTATTTTTGGGGTGGGGGGGGGGGGGCGTCCCATTAGTGGGCGGTTTGCGTCGCTGGTGAAGGGACCCTCTCGTCACTGGAAGGAAGGTTTGGTCCCGGTTTAACTTTGACTTTGCATTTGGCTTTTGCGAGGGAAGGTTTGACGGGGAGTTGGCTCAGGCTCTTGGCGAGGCGGCCTTTGAGAGGACCTTGCGTGAAAGGTTGTCCCAAGAGAACCAGGCGTTGAGGACGGAGCTCTATCGGTCCCAGCAACGGATGCAGGTGAGGTGTGGGGGGGGTGGGGTGCAACCTTCCGCGGACCCAAAACTAAAGGCTTTCGTTTGTATCTGCTGCTTAAAATATATTTTATGGTTGTATATTTTTATACACACGCTTTTACATTTCGTTTAATTTGCTGTGTTTCGCCCGCAAAAAACAACTTTGCAGTATATCCTGTGAAGCGATTTGAGACGTCTCAACGACGTGATAAGGCGCTGTATCAAATGCCAGGATTATTATTATTATTATTATTTCACCGCCTTATCTTGAGTTTTCAGGCCAAATGCACACGGTGTACATAAATCTCTGTCGGTACGATCGTAAAAATGGCGTCCGTAGTCTTAGAGTTCTCCCAAATTCTCTCCAAGCTACAAGTAAGGATTGGTGGGGCCCAGGAGCAGGAATACTGGGCTGATTTCCCCCTCCCTGACCCAGCAGGACAAGGATCGATGCTTTGGCTGATTGCTAGCCCCGGTTCAGTTCAGCTGACTCAGCCCTCTCTCTCTCTCTCTCCGTCTGGCTCGACAGGAGAAGGAATCGGAGGTGGCGGTTCTGACGCAGAGGGCGGGGCGGCTGGAGGTGGAGTTGGGGGAGCTGAGCATCAGGGAGCCCCAGAGCGCGGAGTCGGTGACGCAGCTCAAGAGGCAGCTCCGACTGCTGGAGGGCACGGCCGAGGAACAGCGGAAGGAGCTCGGGGAGCAAGCGGGAACCATCCAACAACTGGAGCAGGTCAGTCACCAACTGGGGGAGAACAGCAACAATACTGTGGTCCTGTGGCTCAGCGGTTAGAGCCCTCGCCTCGCAAGCGAGAGGTCCCGGGTTCGCTTCCCGGCCGGGCCGAAACCTTAGGCAAGTTTCCTTACTCCAGGCACACGCCTCTGCTTACCCAGCAGTAAGCAAGGAACCTGGTTGTCACCTCGATTGGTGGCTCGCTTTCCAGGATCACAATTGACTGCCGCGTTTCGCCCACACAACACGCAGTCACTACGCTTCGCGGCGAAATCCTGCCAAGGCGTCCCTCCTGATGTGAAAGGCGCCGTATCAAATGCAAAGGATTATCATTGATACGGAATAAGGAGTAAAGGAAGGAGCCTGTTATCGCTCTGTGTTGACACAAAGCCCCCTTTAAATGAAACGCCGAGTGTGAGCCGAGAGATTAAACGCTTTTACAAAATGTTTTGCAGTCGGATGAGAACACGAAGACTGCGTGAATCCTCACGGTTTGGTAATGACCCCTGCTGTTAATCCTCTCTCTCTCCCTCTCCCTCTCGCTCTCTCTCCCTCCCTCCCTCCCTCCCTGTTGCTCAGACTCACCTACGGTTTGAGATCGAGCTCGAGAGGATGAAGCAGATTCACCTGAAGGAGCTGGAGGATAAGGAGGAGGAGCTGGAGGACGTCCGCAAGTCCTGTCAGAGAAGGGTATGGTGCCCTCCCAACACGCGTGTGTGTCCGTGTCCATGCGTGTGCGCGAACGTGCGTGCTGTGCGTCCGTTTCCCCCTCCCCCATCGAAACGCAGGTCACCCCTAGAGTACTACACGCAATAGTGGGATACAGTGTATAGTTTGGGACATGTTTCGGCCAGGAAGGTAGAACTGGATGGACTTTGGTCTTCTTTTCGTCCAGCAACTGTTATGTTGTTAACTGCCCAGGGTCCAGAGACGTGCTCTCACGTGCTCTCCTGTGCGTAATTGGCTGCTGTGTTTCGCCCCCAAAAATACACGGTCACTCCACTTTACAGTATATCCAGTGAAGCGCTTTGAGACGTCTTGAAGATGTGATGAGGCAAGGATTATTATTATTATTATTATATTATCTCCTGTGACTGTCTGATTGCAGCTTCGCCAGTTGCAGATGCAGTTGGAGCAGGAGTTTGAGGAACGGCAGATGGTCCTTCACGAGAAGCAGGACTTGGAGAGCCTGGTGGGGACCCTGTGTGAGCAGGTCAGTCCTGGGGGGTACTCGGGAGGGTGGAGGGGGGTGATGTGGGGTTGCGGTGGGAGCGGTGAGGGGTTATGTGAGGTCTCTATCCTGTGTGAGAAGCGTTGTATGGTAATAATAATTTAAAAATATGAATTCCAAGTCCTGACGTGGGCAGAGGGTAGGGTTGCGGGGGCTTGAACCCACAACCTTCTGCCTCAGAGCGCTACCAACCGAGCCAGGATGGCACAACATTGGGGGAAAGGGGCTGAGGGCCCAATTGAAATGGATTTGGGAAGACGATAAGAAGTGATCTGGTGTCCCCTCTGGGTGCAGATAGGTCACCGTGACTTTGACGTGGAGAAGAGGCTGCGTAGGGACCTGAGGAGGACACACGCTCTGTTGGCTGACGCTCAGCTCCTCCTGGGCACGATGGATGATCCGGGGCAGACAGCCAGCAAAGAGGAAGTGAAGACGCTGCAGCTTCAGGTCAGTTATCATAACGATAATAAGACTGTCGCGTCGTCCCAAAGCACTCCGCGGGGATTCGTAACTGTGTAAGCGTAGTGACTGTGTGTTGTTGCCAAGGATGAACTCTCCGAGCTGGAGCAAATCGGCCACAAAACACACAGTCACTACACTTTACAGTACATCCTGTGAAGCGCGTTGAGACGTCTCGAAGACTTGACAAGGCGCTGTATCAGCTGCAGGGATTATTATTATTTATAAATCATGGCGTGCTTGGGGGTCATATGGACTGTAGCCCTGGGTTAGTGACCCCTCCTCCCACCACCCCACTCCCCCCCCCCCCAAACCCCCCACCCCGGCGCGGATCCCCAACCCCAGCTCGGTTCCAAATCCCTGAAAGGCACCGCGTAAAAGTAATGTGTCGTCGTTGTTGTTGCCAGTTACAGGAACGCGATTCTCGCTGTTCCCAGGCGGAGGCGTCTCACAAGATGGTGGTTTTGCAGCTGGAAAAGGTTCACATTCAGCTGGAAAATGTTCAGAAAGATAAAGAAACGGTAAGATAGCACCTTCAGCGCATCCCCGCTCCCTGTTCCTGTCTTCGCTCTAATCTTTCGCCCACAAAACGCACAGTCGAGCTCTTTGGGACGTCTGAACATTGTGATGAGGCGCTGTATGAAAAGCAAAGGTTATCTATCTTCCCTGTGGCAATCGTCCCTTAAAAAATAATAATAATCTGGTCACTCAATCCACGACTGTTTGGGGGACGCTGCTGTGCGCGATTGGCTGTCACGTTCCACCCAGAAAATACACCGTGAATTCGCTTTACAGTATTATCCTGTGAAGCGCTTTGAGACGTCTCTGAGACGTGATAAGGCGCTGTACCAAATGCAAGGATTATTATTATTAATAATCCACGCCAATGCCAACCCCCCCACCGCCCCCCCTCCCCCCCCCCCCACCTCAAGGATTTCCCTATTCTCAGATAGGAAAAAGAAAGCGTTAATATTAATGAGCTGCGTAGGAAATTCTCTCAGAAATGTTGATTTCCATGGTAACGGTGAACTATAAGTTGCCATCCCCAATCCTCCCATGATCTGACTGACATGCATGTATTTATCAGGCGCTTCAAATACCGCCTGGTTATAGACACAACACTTAAGTGGCCCCGTCTTAAAATAGCTCACGTCACTGCACATATAACGGCATTTTATAAAGAATTGTTACTGGTGGGGACTGAACTCAAAGGGGCCCATTTTATCCCACACACCGAAATATTAAACACAGATTTCTACAGACTAAGCGATGCTTCGTGTATTCGTTTCAAAAATTACGATGATTCAAATAATACGAACGTGATATAATACAATGTCTTTAATTATCAAATAATGTTCTCTAAAATTTGCCTAAAAAAATTCTGTCTAAACGGTGACCACTTGGCAACTGCCAATGAAATTACCGCTACGTTTATTACTGTTATTACTATTATTATGGAAGGGCAATTTATTGGTGGGGAGTTTAGGAATTCCTGCTGGGGAATTGCTCAGGGCTAGTGGGTGAGGATTATCCACAGCATTTTATATGTTAAAAAAAAAATTCCCTGCCAAGTATAATGGGGAACAAAGAGTGGGTGAGGGAGAGAGTCATTTGCTGTGAGATTGCCCAGACCTTGTTAACGTTGGCCGAAGCAAATGGATTGCGTCCTCACTGACACTTGACGTCTCTTGCTGTCTTCTGATCTTTATCAGTCTGAACACTTCAGGAAGTTGAAGGGTTTTGAATTGCTGGTATTAGATGCGTCTTAAGTATGTGTCTTGGCGAGAACGTGTCTGAAATATCCCACTGAGAGTCGCTGGGTTTGTTTTTTATCATCATCTTCTTTCTCCAGCAACATCGCGACGTCTCAAAGCGCTTCACAGAATATACTGTCAAGTGGAGTGACTGTATTTTGTGGACGAAACGCAGCAATCAATTGCACTCAGCGGTGTCCCATAAACACTCGTGGATTGAGTGACAAAATTATTATTCTTAAATTTATTATTTTGCGGGGATTATTATTATCTCTCGGAAAGCGATCCAATCGACTAACAAGCGGGTTCCTACTTACTGCCAGGTACACGGAGGCGTGTGGAGTAAGGAAACTTGACTTAAAACGGGAATTGAACCCGGGTCCTTTTGCTTGCGAGGCGAGTGCGCTAACCACTACTCGATGGCACTTCACTGCACTCTTTAACCCATTCCAGGTGGATCAGCAGCTGTTACAGCTGGAGCACGAGCAAACTGATCTTCTGAAGCGGATCGAGGAAGATCAAGAGGATCTGAATGAGCTCATGAAGAAACATAAAGATCTCATCGCCCAGGTATATGGACCAACTGCCCCCAAGAGGCCAGTCGCCCCCCCGCCACCCCCCACCCCCCTATCTCAATCCATCTACTCTCCCATCCCATTGGAGAGATCTCTCCACTTCCCACATTCCAAAGCTGTTCTGAGGCCGAGTGCGTTCAATCCTTCTCCTAGTAACTACAGCAATAACAGCTTGCATTTATATAGCGTAGCGCCCTCAAGTACAGTCCGAGTTTGCTGTACCTCGCCTTGTGATAGTCCCCATGTGGTCGGTGAACGTCATGGTGTATGTGGACCAGCCGTGTACCGGAAGCACGTCAAGCTTCTGACTTTGGGTGCTGACTAGCCGACACTTATATAGCGCTCTGGATAGTGCTTAACAGCGGTGGAGTTTGTCGAGTCGGGTTGAGAGGTGAGGTGAGGGGGGTGGATTGGGGGTTGGGGGTTGGGGGGCGGGAGGGTTGAGAGGTGGTGAGAGGGGAGGATTGGGAAGGACAATGGGCAGCTATAATTGGAAACCAAACAAATGACAGTAATTGACGTTCGCCCAGAGGGCGGGAAGTTAATGTGTGAATCTCTGAAACCGAACGAGAGATGAACTGATAAACTTTGGTTAGAAATAGCTCTGCTGTGTTCTGCCCTGGTTATTCTGGGGTCTGACATCTCACTCTCTCTCTCTCTGTTTTGCAAAAAAAAAAATACACTTCATCCGTCTCTCAGTCTTCCAATGACATCGCCCAGATCCGAGACTTCCAGGAACGCTTGCACGAAGCCGCGAAAGATAAGCAACAGTTTCAGGAAAAGGTGAGAGATAACCTGCTAATTCCATACAGACCTGTCTGCTCCCTCCGCTCAGTGGGCTCTGGCCTGATCCCTATCCCCGGCCCTGCCTGTCCCACCATCGGCAGTCAGGCCTTCAGCCGCTCTGCCCCCACCCTTTGGAACTCCATCCACAGCCCCTTCGCCTCAGCCCCTCCATTGCCTCTTTCAAGGCCCATCTCAAGACCCTCATCTTCCCCAAACCTTCTCTGCTGCAGGTAAACAGTGCCAACTGTTCAGCTCCTTCCACCACATGGTAATAATCTCCAGACACAGTTTAGCAGGCAACTGATGAGCCATTAATTAATTAGTGTGCATACGGACAGGCGGGAGTGTGAACGAACGAGATTTAAAACTGTCTTCCCGACAGAGAGAATGGATGTGGGAGTTCAGGAAGAATTTGCACATTAAGGAAAGGTGCGTTTTAAGGATCGGAGTCTGGGAGTCGGGAATTCTCAGGCTGACGGTTTGACCGGATGGTTAATGTGGCTCGCTTCAGTGAACCTTGGACAATTTTCGGGATCGAGAGGTCCCAAGTTCGAGAGGTAAAGAGAGAGAGATAGAAAGAGAGAGCGGCGCTGGGCTTGTAAGGATGTTTTATGTTCCAAGCAATTTTCATAACCTTATTGTTACCGACTCCCTTCTCTTTCCAAACAGCTCCGTGGGATCTTTAGCATCGGCCTGAACAGGGCACGGATGGGGAGTGAGGTTTAACGTCTCAACCCTGGCTTAACTTGTCACTACCACTTAGGTCACCCTGCTGTTAATATCCCGGATGGATTTAGTTGTGTATAAATTTCATGTACAAATAAATAATAATAATTTGGTCACTTCAGTCCACGACTGTTTGTGGGGACGCTGCTCTGTGCAATTGACTGCCGTGTTTTGCCTGTAAAATATACAGTCAATTCACTTTATAGTATAATAGTAATGTGTGTGATAAGGCGCTATATTAAATGCAAGGACTATTATTATATGCCTAATTCCTGATAACTCATCACTGAGCCCTTTTCCCTCAGAGTGACTAGTTATCAGGAGTTTACTGTATAAAGGGATGTGCAAGAGACTCTCTCTCTATGCGCTGTGATCAAGCTCTCAGCTCAGTGTTAACATTGATTCTTCTGTGTGTCCTGTCAAACCCACAGCTGCAGATTGCCCAGAGCAGATAGAGTACATGGAGCACTCCATGGTGGAGCGTGGGATTGTCAGCAGGCAGGAAGCCATCATCTGTGACCTGGAGAACAAAATGGAGTTTCAGAGAGGACAACTCAAGAGATTTGAGGTAGGCACGCCAGCCTTTCACACACGTTCTCCACTTCTGAGGTTCTTTTCCTTCAAGCGGTGAAGCTAGGAATGGAAATTTGGGTGGCCACCAACTTATGGTGGTCGCATGCCTTGTTCTCTCACTTTCTCTCTTACTCTCTCTCTCTCTCTCATTCTTTTTCTCTTGTTCTCTGTCTCTCTCTTTTTCTCTCTCTGATTCTATCTCTCTGTCTTCTCTCTCATTCTTGTTCTCACTCTCTCTCTCTCTCCGCTCCGGTGCAGACTCTCGTCTTACGGTTGCGTGACAGTGTGATGAAGATGGGTGAGGAGCTGGAGGAGGCGGCAGAGGCTGAGGCCAGGGAGAAGGAGATCTCCGGCCACTGGAAGCTGAGGATGGAGGAAATGAAGGTAGAGATGGACGATCTGGCAGAGAGGGAGCTGGAGGCTTCGCGACGGCGGCTGGAGCTGGTGAGGACATACACCTCCAACATAAATCATTCATTCGACCAAAGCCCCAACTATAATAATGATGATAAGAATAATAATCTTTGCATTTAATACAGCGCCTTATCACATCTTTCAGACATCTCAAAGCCCTTCATAGAATATACTGTGACAGTTGGTGGATTGAGGTTTAGCTGGTCAGACTCCAGCTGTTACCCCAACGCAAACTCTGGGCTCCCCCCAAGCCTTGGCTCTTGTCAACCTGTGTCTAATACTTCCTGGAATTAGGTAAGCAAGTCCCTCCAGGGAGACAGAGAGAGAGAGAGAGGAGAGAGAGAGAGAGAAAGAGCGCATTCCATTCCAACAATCTCTCTCAGGGATTTCCATGTGTAGAAAGTGGGATGCGTGGAATTCTCAGTTTGGTTTGGAGACTCTTAAGCAACGGTGATGGGTTAGACACCCGGCTGACCAGAAAAAAACACCTCCCGTGCTGAGCAGAAAGCTAGGAGGCATTTGCTAACTCAGGGCTGTGTAAGTCTCAGAAATAGAAAAAAAAAGGACATTTCAACAGGAGCTCGACTTTCTCAGCTCGGAGTCGGTTCTGTTCACGCACAACCACAGGGGCAGCCGTTGATAAGTGCACGGCGTTTAATTAGCTCCATGGGAGATGTAATTATCCCTCTCTTTTTTCCCCTGTGTAATTTTGTTCACCTTGTAATCCTGGTGTGAGAAGCCGCGGGTTGCAGGTCTGAACAGAGCTTTCACTGTATGATATATAATGGAATAAGAGAAGAGAAAGCTTCGGAGTTCTTGATCTCCAGGGAGATAGTTTATTCATCAAGTCCAAATAGGATTCATTCCCTCTCCAAAAAAACAGACTGTCGCCAAGGGTCATAGGAGTCCTGTAGCTCAGTGGTAGAGCACTCGACTCGCAAGCGAGAGAACCTGGGTTTGATTCCCGGTTGATCGAAACCTTAGGCAAGTTTCCTCACTCCACACACACGCCTCTGTTTACCAGCAGTGAGTAGGTCGATTGGCGGATCACTTTCCGGGGGTAATAATCCCTTAAAAAAAATGTGGTCACTCAATCCACGGCTGTTTGTTGGGACACTGCCGTCTGCAATTGGCTGCAGTGTTTCCCTCATTAAAATATACGGTCAATCTACTTTGCAGTATATACTGTGAAGCCCTTTGAGACATCTCAATATGATAAGGCGCTGTTTCAAACGCAGGGATTACTATTATAATATCCCAGACATGGTTGGTGACACTTTTATGGAGCGATATCTTCGGGTCTCTCTGTTTGACCTGTTAGCACCAGTGGCTAAAGGTTCTGAATGCTTCATCGCTTCCGTCTCTCCATTAAAGGGATACAGTTAAGGAGACTCTTGTCTGTATGTGAAGGTGGGGGGTGACCCCTGTGTCTGAGCGCTGTTTGTGTGATTGGTAGGAAGCTCAAGTGGAATGTCTGGTGACGGTCAAGGAGACTTTACAAGCGGATCTGGAGACATCAATCAAACGGATCGCAGACTTCCAGGCGGTCCTGGAGGAGGAATCCAGTGATGACAGCGACACCGAAACTGAGAGGTAAGGGCTTTAGGCAATGGGCGGCCCCAGCTCCTGCCACTGGCTCCATCGGTGAAGCCGTTGAATAATGGGAAACTGAGACGTACAGAGCGGTTACAGTACACACAGCGGGAGGAGGATGTCCCAATGTGCTCAACAATCCTGGCTTGGCACCCGAGCTGGGGGTGGGAGCTGAGGGTCAGGATGTGGGGTGGGGGGGTTAGGGGACGATGGCTGAAAGTGCCACCTCCAATGGTGGAGCGGAGGGGGCGAGAGACGAGCAGGAGGCCGCGAGTGGGTAATGGTTTGGGGAGTAAGCAGGTCAGAGAGGCAGGGAGGGGCCAGGGCATGAAGGGATTAGTAGCTGAGTGGGTGAGTGGGTGAGAGGATCTGAAATCGTCAGCAGAAACCAGAAAGACTTCTGTGAGCCTGACGTAGTAGGAATGGATGCCGGTTGGGTGTGCGTTGGGGCAATGCTGTGCTTGTGACAGACTCTTCTCTTCCTTCCTTCCCAGCACACAGCTGCCTCCCAGAGCTGGCTCCGCTATAAGGGACAGGTAAGAAGGTGCCGGTCGTTGGCCTTTGCCTTTGCCTGTTGCAGTGTTGCGTGTGAAGCTCAGCAGGAGCTGTCCGAGTTTACAGTGCCCTGTCAAACCCCCTCCCGCACACGCAACCACCATCATTGGCAAACCCAGCCCAACCCCAGCTGAACCCGGCCCGCAAGGCTAAGGAATAATAATTAATAATAATTCTTGCTCGTTGCTCCAGAGTCTTATCACGTGGGAAGGACGTCTCAAATAAAGTGACTGCGTATTTTGTAGCTCAATTGCACGCGTGGAGTGAGTGAGTGATCAATTTTATCTGGGGGATTGTTAGCCAGGATATTGTGAGAGAGAAACTCCCTTCTCTTTTCAACAAGCGCCGCAACATCTGTAACATGAACGGGCAGACGGGACCTCAGTTTAACGCCTCATCTTATTTAGTCTCATCATTATGGAGTCCCATAGCAAACGTGAGGACCTGGGTGGCCGGATGTGGCCCCCGGGCCACTAGTTGCACCATCCTGGCCCTGGACTATGAGCTTAGAATCCCATCGTGGGGTTTGAGCTCACAAGCTTCCGATTCAGGGGCAATATGGTAACCAGCGGAGCCGAGCTGACACCTAAATCACAATGCAGTACTCCCCCCGTGTGTGTCTGCCTCTATACATAATTAAGCGCCTTATTAATATTGCACGAAGTCTGTATGAATATGAAATATTGTTTTATTCAGCATTACTCATACTTAAACAATGGCTGTAATAATAGCTCCTCAGACTTAAGTTGACAAACTTGTGCTCTTGTGCCAATGACATTGCATTGTGTGTTCAGGCCATTTATAATATATTTCTTGTTGTTTTTTGGGGGACCTTCATATCTTCACAGTCAGTTATTCCCTGTTTAATCTTAATACAAGTCTGTAGCAATTGTCAGTCTAACTTTGAGTATCAACTGCTGGTGTCATAGATGCTAATATTTGGCTCAGTTGGTAGCGCTCTCGCCTGAGTCATTGTCAGAGGCGCCGTTCTTTGAGTGAGACGTTAAACCAAGGTCCCATCTGCCTGTTCGGATGTCAAGGACCCTATTGGAAAAGAGAGGGAAGTTTCTCTCTCTCTCTCTCTCTCTCTCTCTATCTCTCGCTCAGTGTCCTGGCCGACAATCCCCCAGATAAAATCGCCTGTTCACTTCACGGCTGTTTGTGGGGACGCCGCTGTGCGCAAATTGTCTGCCGTCCTCGCCCACAAAAACACACCGTCACTACTTACTCCATGTAGTAAACGCAGTGGAGATGTCACAGGCTGTGTGAACGGCAGGGATTAATATTAACGTGATGAATTGGTGACACGCAATCCATTTCAGTCAGTTACTGGAAGAAATCCCTGGCTTGGATATCTTAATTAAGAAATCCATTAAGAAATACCGAATAATTGACCCCATTATCCCGTTAGTCAAAGGTATGAGGCACCGAAGCTAGTAACAGAGATGTTATCGCGGCATTGAGGGAATGCTGAGAGGATACAATGGGAGCTCGAGCCAGCAGCACAGATGTCTAAGAAGTTGACAGGGACATTCGAGGTGATAGATCATTCTTCACACACCCACTCGTGTTTCTCTGAGAAACAGAGTAACGCACAGAGCAGGCCTGTTCCCTGCCTAACTCGTGATTGGAGTGGTTAGAGCACTCGCCTCACAAGCGAGAGGACCCGGATTCGATTCCCAGGCGGGGCGAAACCTTTAAGCTATAAGTTTCAGATATAATTGCCCTCTGCCCTGCTGTCAGGATGGGAGGGTGGGGTGGAGGGGCATTATATTTAGATTTGAAAACCCACCCAGTAGACTTGCAATACCCCAGGGAGAGCCAGAGCGAGAGTGAACGCAAGACAACCATTGCTAAGGCCAGCCAACACTTCACAGCTAACACTAGCTGGTTGAACAGATGCTAAACATTTACTTATTTAATACAAGATCATCTGGGCAAGGCTTCAAAGTGATGGAGTATTCCCAGCGCTCCTGCTCTGAGCAATCAACCCCCTCCCCTCTCCCAAATCAATGGACTCCACATTGCCCATGTCTGTATTACACATTAACCCAGTGGTGTCAGTGGAAGGGATCTATCTCTCTATCCTTTAATCATATTAACCCACCGCGGCGCCTTTCAAATCAGGATTACGCCTCAAAGCGCTTCGCAGCATTTACAAGAGAGCATAGCAACTGCGTGCGTGTGTGTGTGTGTGTGTGTGTAGGAGAACGAAGCAGACAATTTGCGCCCGGCGATGTCCAACAAACAGCCGTGAAGCGAGTGGCCAATCTTGTCAGTACCCTGCGAGCACCAGCCTAGACTGTGAGCTCATTCACTCAATTCAATTTCCTTCGGATGATGAGTCAGATCAGATAATAGCGGAGAAAGAGAAAAGTCTAAAGATTAATATTCTTCTGCAAATACACATCCCCAGAGAACTCAAGTTACAGATTAGCTAATGAGAAAATGACTAGTTATTGGCAGTCCAGCAGTACACACGGGTATAATAGTATAATATTACTAACCCTCTCTCTCTCTCTCTTTCTCTCTCTTCATTCTCTCAGACTCCGCCACTATAAAGCGCCCTGGGATGCTATATGAATGCAAGTTGTAGTTGTTGTCTCTCTCTCTCTCTCTCCGCTCTCTCTCTATATCTGCTCTCTCTTTCTAACTCTCTCCCCCTCTTTTTCTCTCTCTCTCTCTCTCTCTCTCTCTCTCACACAGTGACTCCCAGTCCAGCGCAGGATCCTATGTGAGCTGTGAGCCAGGCTCTGGCGCGGGTTCAGTGTCACTGACGAGCCGCTCTGTGGGTCGCAGGTCACCATTCGGAGGCAGTGTGACTGGGAGCCTATCCAGGCCATCCACAGCTGACAACACCAGCCTTCACAGCTCCAGGTAGGCACTGACTCAATCCCTTTGATCCTCGCCAGCAAGCCCTCACACAGCAGGGATCTCCTCAGATCCAAGTACAGCTTCTGCTACACTGACCTTTATCACAGGAATCATCACCCGGCCGACACAACACTCGTCTCCAGCGACACAAGGGCATCACACGAGGCTACGAGACACAGTCAGTCAAACAGTAACTCGGTCTTACCTTCCTTTCCCTCCCAGCTCAAAGTTAATTCATTCCACCCAATGTCTCCAAACCCCCTTCACCGTAAAATGCCAAATAATAAAAAATAAAAAATGCCTTGCAATTGAAATAGGGCTTATAATGTCCAGAGTCTCCAAGCTCCTCGCAGAGTTTATATGAATAATAATGATAATCCTTGCATTTCATACAACGCCTTATCACGTCATTGAGACAGTTCAGAACGCTTCACAGGATATACTGTAAAGTGGAGTGTTTTGTGGGTGAAATGCAGCAGCCAATTGTGCACAGCAGTGTCCCACATACAGTCATGGAATGAATGACCAAACCTTAATCGGTTGCAAGGTGAGAACTCTAACCACTACGATACAGGACTCCATAATTCTGTGACATTTTGAACATCAAGACTGAGGCTGAGACGAGATAGAATTTCGGTTCTCGGGCAGTGAGAGTGTGAGGCCAACACAGAACAGTGAACATTACTTCTTTTGGGGGGTCAGCCGGGTGTCTGACACACACGGAAACCCATCACCGTGACCAGCCGGGTGTCCAACACACACGGAAACCCATCACCGTGATCAGCCGGGTGTCCAACACACACGGAAACCCATCACCGTGATCAGCCGGGTGTCCAACACACACGGAAACCCATCACCGTGATCAGCCGGGTGTCCAACACACACGGAAACCCATCACCATTGCTTAAGAGTCTCCAAACCAAGCTGAGAATTTCACCTACACATAGAAATCCCAGAGATAGATTGTTGGAATGGAATGCGCTCTCTTTTTCTCTCACTCTCTCTGGAAGGACACATCCTGCTTACCTAATTCTGGAGGGCATTAGGGGCAGGTTGGCAAGAGCCAAGGCTTAGGGGGGAGCCCAGAGTGTGCGTTGGGGGTAACTGCTGGAGTCTAAGCAGCTAAAACCGCACAGCTTGTTATTGATTACTGCAGCACTGAATAAAACAAGCATCTGAGCTGTTAGAGACTGGCGAGAGACGGGTGCTGGCTTGTGAGATTGCTCACATCCCACCTGCACGCGGGGGAGATAAGAGCAATGTACAGATGTTAGGTGTTTAGTGTCTCAGACCTCCCATCAGTGGGGCAGTGTGAGGCACGAATACTCTCTCTGTTTGTGCTCATTCATTCCAGGCACGTACGCCTTCAGACAGACTCCCTGAATTTAGCAGAAAGCTCATCTCCCCTCGGACTAAATTTTACATGCTCTCAGTGAGTAATGTTTGAAATAGAAGTGGTGTGATTTTTCTTACTCTCTCTCTCGCTCTCTCTCTCTTTCCCCCCCATCCCTCCCTCCCTTCTCCTTTTCCTCCAAGCACGACAATTCTGCATTCCTCTTTTCAGCTTGTAGCTCGTGACCCTGAACTGCGTAGGAATAAAATACTATTAATTATAATAATAATACTCCTTGCCTTTGACACAACGCCTTAATCCTAATCCTTGCATTTGATATAGCGCTTTTCACGTCGGGAGGACGTCCCAAAGCGCTTCACAGAACACACTGTAAAGTGAAGTGACTGTATATTTGTGGGCGAACGCGGCAGCCAATTGCGCACAGCAATGTCCCACAAACAGTCGTGGATTGAAAATGACCGATTTATTATTGTTTTGGTTTTTGGAGGTATCATTATTAGGCTCTGTGTGGAGTAAGGAAACTTGCCCAAGGTTTCGCCCTCTGCCTGGAATTGAACTCAGGTCTCTCACTTGCAAAGCGAGTGCTCTAACCACTGAGCTACAGGACTCCACACAGGCCTTACCACGTTATCATCGAGACGTCTCAAAGCGCTTCACAGAACGTACTGTGAAGTGGAGTGACTGCGTAGTTTGTTGGGCGAAACCCGGCAGCCAATTGCGCACACAGCACCTCAATTAGATCGCTCCTCAACCTCAAGGGAGGACAAGCCACGTTTATGCAAACTGCTCTCGTAATTTAACCCTGTTAAGCCATTCTGGTGAAGCTGTGCTACATCCCCTACCAGGGACAGTCTACCTTTCTTGAGGTGAGGTTCCCAAAACTGGATGCAGTACTCCAGACAGGCTCTGACCAAGGCTCCTCGCTACTTGGAGGTGTGTTGGTGGTTCATTACTCGACCTCTGTCTCCCCCTCAGGTACCTCAGAGACAGCAAGCAGCACGCGGAGAGCAGGCCTGGCTCTGCACTGAGCCTCAGCCTCAGAAGCCGAGAGTTGGCGAAGGGCGGCGTCCAGGGGAGCAAAGACTCCTCGTCGGCCTGGTCCAGAACCTCGCCTCCGCGAGAGGATAAGTCCCCGAGCTCCTCCTACGCCCTGTCGGAATTCCTGGAGGAACTGAGGAGGAAGCGGGTGGCGGAGAGTGAGCCGGGCGGAATCCGCAGGGATGAGGGCTCCTTGCGGCCCATTTACCAGACGGTGGGTCTCTCCTCCCTCGGGAAGCGCTTGGCCGGCAAGGACACGGATGAGAACTCGCTGGTGGGACTCGAGACCCGGAGTCTGTCGGAGGGCGGAGGGCAGCTGAAAGCAGGGCTGGTGCGCTCCGCCAGTCTCAGGTCACTCCCGATCAGCTCCGAAGTTGGGGAGCCGACGGGGACGATGAGGCGGAACCGATTCGGATCATTGGAGACGCTGGCAGAACCTTCCAGGTCATCTTCAGGTCTCGGTCTAGCTCCCAGCCTTCCCACCAGGGACATCAGGGGCTCGGTCTCCACCAGGATGAATCCCCCAGAAGGTGGCTTGATAACCCCCTGGAGGAAGATATCGATGAGGTTCTCAGTCAGCCCATCGTCATCAGGAGCCAACGTTTCAGCGACCTCCCCGGCGAGGAGGGGTCAGCGGAGAAGACCCCCTGGAAGGTCCCTAGCCTGAGCTATGAGAGGAGGAAGGAGTCCGATGTCGACATCCTTCCCGCCATCCGCAGACCCTTGGGCAGGGAGGGGGCAGGCAGAGGTGGATGCCCCGAGGGTCCCGGAGGCCGGGGCCCCCCAGGAGCCGGCCCTCGACACTCGGCCGGGACGGAGGAACGCGAGTTCTTCGGCAACGCCTCCGACTCCTCTTCGTCTTCGGGCTCCACCACGTCGTACAGGAGCGCGGACAGCATCAAGAACCGGCCGGCCAGGAACCCCGGCTCCCAGCTCCCGGGAACGGGGAAGAGCCGGGGGGAGGGAGACTCAGACTCGCAGCCCACTGACGTGAACAGTGTGATGCTGAAGTACTTGAGGAAGCCCGACATGGATTGAGGGTAAGAGTCAACCAGGGCAAAGGCCGTCTCATCTGTCGGGGGAATTACTCTGGATGGATTTACTTGGGCACGAGGGGAGAGCCAAGCCTTGCTGACCTTTGTTCTTCCTTTGTAGTGTCTTCTCGTTCCAAACTCTACAAAGTATTTGCACCTGGATAATGCGGAGAAGGATTTGCGGGCAGAGGCAGGAATAACCAAGCATCAAGCTGGGACAAAGAACCTCTCTCCATCCCTCCACCCACCCCCATTCCCCCTCATCCTTCCCTCTTCCCATTCCCTCCCCCTCTCCCCCAAAAGCCCCTTCATCCACAGAAGCAGGAAGGACGTGGGAGGACACAGCGGGTGTTTTTTCTTTGCTCCCTGGCCCGTTCGCTGAATTTAACGCAACGTGTGATATCGTTTCAAAGAAGGAGGGAAAATATAGAGGTTGTTTGAATAAAGGAATTGAAATGTAAAATGAGAAAGCGCTGTAAGTACTTGAATCCACTCCTGAGTGTGCTGGTGACCCACGAGAGCACGGAAAATTATCTTGAAGGAATCGTTCGATGTAACGCAGGATCTGTCCCCTCCAGGGAGAGAGAGAGAGAGAGAGTGAGAGAGAGAGAGAGAGAGCGCATTCCATTCCAACAATCTATCTGCGGGATTTCCAGGTGGAGGTGGGAGGCCTGGAATTCTCAGCTCGGTTTGGAGACTCTTAAGCAACGGTGATGGGTTTCCGGCTGACCAAAAAAAGTTTCAATGGCATAGTTACCTTGAATGTCGCCCATTTGGCCCAGCTAGTCCATGCCGGTGTTCATATCCCCCCACCCATCCTATTCCCCTCCCCCTTGTTATACGCTAGAAAATACATCTACTTGTTGTTCTAATAATAATTCTTGCATTTGATACAGCGCCTTATCACGTGGTTGAGACGTTTCAAAGCGCTTCACAGAATATACTGTAAAATGTAGTGACTGTATTTTTGCAGGCGAACGTAGCAGCCAATTTGCGCCCAGCAAAGTCCCACAAACAGCCATGGAGTGAGCGGCCCAACTTTATTTGGCAGATTGTTGACTGGGAAACTGGGGAGAGAGAAACTCGCTTTTCTTTTCAGTTAGTGCCGCGGAAGCTTTAGCGTCCACCTGAACAGGGCACAGGCGGGGAGTGAGGATTAACATCCCATCCGAAAGACGGGGTGTCCGACAATACAACACCCGCCCCCCCAGCGCTGCACTGGAGGGTAACCTTAGACTATGCGATTCCACATCCCGACCTGGGGGCTCGAACCCACAACCTTCGGACTCAGAGGTGAGAGCGCTGCCGACTGAGCCGGGCAGAGACTCTTAAATACGTCAATGTTTTTGACTTCAGCCGCACTTTCTGGCAGTGAAGCTGCACGTTCTCGCCACCCTCTGCGCAAAGAAGTTTCTCCTAAGCTCTCTGATTAGATCTTCCACTGGCTATCGCTTAGAAATTAATTTTGTAGACATATGTTTCACGGCGCAATTAAATTATTCATGAAATTCCAATTTAGATTTCCCCGTCCCTCTCCAAGGGAGGGTACACATTGCTTTTATCGTAGCCAGCCTCGCTCATCTGAAACTCAGTCCCATCCATTTGGGGAGTGTTCTCAAGTCACGCGTAACAGAATCATTTTGCTTGCGTTTGATACAGCACCTCTCGCAGCCCGGCGATGGGTTTCCGCACGTATCAGACACCTGGAAAACCCATCACGTTGTTGAGACGCCTCAAAGCGCTTCACAGCGTTTTACTGTAAAGTGCAGTGTATTTTCCAGGCAAACGTGGCGGCCAATTTGCTCACGGCGACAAACAGCCACAAAGTGAACGTTGGCCAGGACACCGGGAGAGAGAAACTTCCTTCTCTCTTCAAATATCGCCGCAAGATCTTTAACGTCCAATCTTAACAGTTTATCTAGAGGTAAGTAGGAACCCGGTTGTTAGTCGATTGATGGATCACTTTCCGGGCCACTGCTGTGCGCAATTTCGCCCACAAAATACGCAGTTAATTCACTTTACAGTGTATTTTGTGAAGCGCTTTGAGACGTCTCAATGACATGATAAGGAGGTGCCGTATCAAATGCAAAGATTATGATTATATGATTAAAAGAACCTTCAGTGTCTTTTATATTAAAAAAAATCCATATTTGCTCCAAAGACAGTGTTGTTCACCCCCGAGCTCATCAGGAGCAGCTCATGGTGGCTGCTCAGGGTGGCAGCAGACATGGGATTAAGCATTGTAGTTAACAAATTGCTTCAGACAGGAATGGTTCTCAATGCAGCTAAACCCACACCGGTTTGTGGATTGGCACAGATGTTTATTCCAAAGACTTGACAGAGAATCCGATCTTACTGCAGGCAGCATGTCCTGAATAAATTATTCATCACAGACAAGCCGATAAATCTCAGTCTGGAGCTTTTAAATATTCACTCCGACAATGTTCCCACACTGGGGCCGCGTTTCATTTTCGAAAGACGCAATTTTTAGATTATATCCGAATGATCATCATAATCCGTGTGTTTGATACCGCGCCTTTCACGTCGGGAGGACGTCTCAAAGCGCTTTGCAGGATTTACTCTGCGTTTTAGAATATTACAGCACAGAACGGAGGCCATTCGGCCCATCGTGCCTGTGCCGGCTGTTTGAAGGAGCTACCCAACCAGTCTCCACTCCCCCGCTCTTTCCCCAAAGCCCTGCGAACTTTTCCTTTACAAGTACATATCCAATTCCCTTTCGAAAGCTACTATCGAATCTGCTTCCACCACCCTCACAGGCAGAGTGTTCCAGATCGTATCAATGCTGCGTTTAAAAAAAAAAATCTCTCCTCGACTCCCCTGTGGTTCTTTTGCCAATTATCTTAAATCTGTGTCCTCTGGTTCCCGACACATCCGCCAGTGGGAACAGTTTCTCCCTGCTCCTTCCATCAAAACTCTTGTTTGCGGGATATTGCTGTGGGGCTCAAAATGCAGTCACTACACTTCGCAGCAAAGCATCGCGCTTCGAGGCATCCTCCCGGCGTGAAAAGGCTTCAGATGCGACATGAGATAAAAGAAGCCTGCAGGAAATCAATAGAACATTACGTGTCCCATTATTGTCGCTGATCTGTTTCATTAATGTCTCCATTCTTTCAGTGGGACTGAAATTGCAATGTTCTCTAAAGTTTTTCACCACTTATGTCTGTACTCACCCTAACCAGCTTCAAACCCGTTTTTTTTTTAACCTAACTGCTTTTTCCAGCGAATTTATAAAGGAGTTATAATTACAATAATAATAATAATAACAACAATAATCCCTGCATCTGATACAGCGCCTTATCACTTCTTCGAGACGTCTCAAAGCGCTTCACAGAATATACTGTGAAGAGGAGTGACTGTGTATATTTGTGGGCAAAATGCGGGCAGCCAATTGCGCCCGGCAGCGTCCCCACAAACAGCCGTGGATTGAGTGACCAATTTATTATTATTTGTTTATTTAATTACTTATTCGGGAAGGGATTATTATCTCCAGAAAAATTCCTCCCCGGCCGGCCATGGGTGTTGCGCTTTGCCACCGGTCCCTGACCCCGTTAATGATATTCCTGCCTGGCCAGCGCCACGGGAGCTAATTACTAGGAATGGCTCCTGTCTAAAACTCGGAGGCTCTGGTCTCCACAAAAGCTCTGACAGGCAATTAGACAACAGACCGAGATTGGTGGTGAACAGGGGCCGTTTCATCAATCTGGAGGTCATTAGTGCTGGGTCAGGCCGTCAATTAGAGGCCAGTAAATCAGAGACACCAGTGCTTCCGTATCCGGTTGGCATCTCGTAGAGTAGCGGTTGGCACACGCTCCTCGCAAACAAACCTGGATTACATGGAGTCCTGCAGCTCACTGGTTAGAGCCGTTGCCTCACAAGCAACGGCGCCTGGGTTTGATTCCCGGTCGGGGTGAACCCGTTTCCTTACTCCACACGCCACAAAATGCGCAGTCACTGCACTTTACCGTGTATCCTGTGAAGCGCTTTGAGACGTCTCGAAGACGTGATAAGGCGCTGTGTCAAATGCGAGTATTATTATTATGCCTCGTCTGTGGGGCAGTCTGTGTTACCTTGGATCTCCCCCAGTACCAATCTCAACACCCCCCCTCCTCCCCCCTTCGGCAGTACATGGTTCATCTCGCTCAGTAATCAAAGCTGACTGTGGCATATGCTGAACCTCTGCTCTGAGCAGATCTGGCAACGCATTCCTGTGAGACCCCGCCAGCCATGCATCCAGCTTGCAATGCAGGCGTGACTGTCAGCCTGTGAGACAGAGGGAGGGGGTGAAGAGTTAACCCAAAACTCTGCCGCCTGTATACGCACCCGCACTAAACTCCATCCCCAACATCCCACCGGCCCTCGCCAGGCTCCACTGGCTCCCCATCACCGAACAGATCGATTTCAAGATCCTCACACTCGTCTACAAATCCCTTCACCCTCTGGCACCTCCCTCCCTACCTCTCCGACCCGCTTACTCCCCAACCCAAAACTCTCCCTCAATCCCTCCGCCTTGCAGATAAAATCAGGCACTCCGTGGCTGTTTGTGAGACATTGCTGTGTGCAAATTGGCTGCCGCATTCGCCTACAAAACACACACTTTAGAAATCCCATGAAGTGCTTTGTGATGTCCTGTCATGTATTACAAGGTGCAATATTAAATGCGAGGATTATAATTAATA